TATAATCCTCAGCACCTTGAAAAGTTATATAACCTCAATGAGCTAAATCTCCCTAGCAAATTGTTGTGAAAATTAAATGACACAAGGTGAAATCCACCTGTAAAATGCTCTCCATGAATGTCAGTTCTTTGAACCCCAAACCCATTTCCACCTTCTATATGAACAACCTCCTCCAAGCAGAAGCTTTGTTATTGACATAAACACAAGTAGAGACCTGAACTCTTAGAAGCAGCCAGCAGAAGGAGCTAAACTTTGAGTCAGGGAAAACTAGGCTGGAATTTCAGCTCTACTGCTAACCAACTGCTCAACTGTATTCAAGTCATTTAGCTTCCCTGAGAGTGAGCATCTTCTTGTTAAAGATAAAATGTGGCTAAGAATAGTGGTCTTTCTTTGAGCCGGTTAATCCTCCACCTGCGGCGCCGGCATCCCATATGGGTGCCAGGTTCTAGTCCCGATTGCTCCTCTTCCAGTCCAGCTCTCTGCTCTGGCCCAGGAAGGCAGTGGAGGATGGCCCGGGTGCTTGGGCCCCTGCACCCACATGGGAGACCAAGAGGAAGCACCTGGCTCCTGGCTTCAGATCCGCGCAGCATGCCGGCCATTTGAGGGCTGAACCAACAGAAGGAAGACCTTTCTCTCTCTCTCACTGTCTAACTACCTGTCAAAAAAAAAAAAAAAAAAGGAATAGTAGTGTTTCAAGGTCATTATAAGGGAAAGAAAGGCAGTATCTTGGTAAAAATCTCAGGGAATGTTTGGAACATACAAAAAATTAGAAAATGGTGAGGGTTCTTTTTATTACTTTTACTGTTTTTTTTGTTTTTTTTTTTTTTGACAGGCAGAGTTATACAGTGAGAGAGAAAGAGACAGAGAGAAAGCTCTTCCTTCCATTGGTTCACCCCCCCCCCCAAATGGCGGCTATGGCCAGCGTGCTGCACCGATCTGAAACCAGGAGCCAGGTGCTTCCTCCTGGTCTCCCGTGCAGGTGCAGGGCCCAAGCACTTGGGCCATCCTCCACTGCCTTCCTGGGCCACAGCAGATTGTTAAGGGTCTTCCAAATAATTCTCCTGAATGTACCATGGATACTTTCATATAACCTCATCCAAAACCAAGTGCAGACTTGGTGTCTTTCTGAACAATATCCTGCTTCTCCTTTAGTTTTCTACAATTGAAGATAAATGTATTTGAAGGCATGATTCTAAGGGCAACCAAAAAGCCTGAGAGTAGGTGCTAAACTGGAGTCCAGAATGGACTTCAGGGAGATGGGCTTTCCAGAAGCTGGGGCAATAATGATGCTCAGGGGCCCAAACACTGCTCTTTCTTCTCTCTTCTGCTGCAGGACAACAAGGCCCTAGTGGCATGGGGTTTGGTGCCTAAGTTGGAGATCCCATCTGAAATAGTCCAAAATTTCATATATCCACCTCACCACTCTCTAACCAGAAACATATAATTGACAGGTGATGGTCTTCTGGAATGGTGCAAACTTGAACATACAGGGGCAGTGGCAAAGCCAGAGTCAGGCAACTGTATCACCTTGGGCAGACTTGCGTGGGAGCACTTCTGGAGACACATGCCCCACTGGGAACACCAGTGCCAGGAAAAGCCTCACTAAAATCAGCTGAAACTGCTGTCATGCTATGGGACAATCCCTCTGCCTTTAAGAATCTTGGGTTTGCTGGAGGATGGTCTCTCCCAGCCCATTCACAACCCATATGGACTGATGCACATGAGAAATCCAAAAACCAGGAAGCCGTTCTAAGATCTCTCTCTCTCCTCTCATCCAAAGGACATCCAACACTTCCCCATGCCATGTTGTTCAAAACTTCAAAATCTTGCAAAGTCAACCACATCCTTCATACTTGGATAGTTTTACTCTTGCCATCCTAGTCCCCAGTATCCTCAATGCCACCCCAAAGCATGTGCCCATCACAGTCTGGATGCAACGTGTGCTCTCACCACAGCCTCTCTGATTTCACCTCTTCCCACTCTTGCCCTTCATCCTTGTTTCCCCAGCTGCATGTACCTTCTTTCCATCCCTCAAACACAGCACCCCCTTTTGTCAACTCGTGCCCTTTCACTCTCCCCTTTGCTCCTGAGTAATTGCACAGCCCCTTATGTCACTTGGATTTCACTTCACTGTTCTCTCTTCACTGAACAATCAAATCGTCTCAGACTCTAGCATACTGTGTTTATGCCTTCCTTAAACCAACAAAAAGTATCTGAAATCCCTATGTTAACCTACAGCAGTTCTCACCCTCTATAGTAGTTACATCCATGAAGTATCCAGGAACACTGACTTAACACATGCAAAGCCACTGCTCCTGAGCAAATGCATCGTGAATCTTTTTGCAAGTCTTTGGTCACAATACATTTATCAAGCAATCAATGCATAACCTTGTCTTGTGTGTTTCTGCTTAAATGCACATTTTACTATATATTGTTGATTCACTATCATTGAATTCAAGATCAACAGCACTGTAACCCATGACTAAAGGAAGTTTATCCAACACACACATTTTTACCATGTGTCACATCATAGCCTGCGTGTACTCAGAAACAGTAGACAGCACTTAAACACTACACTGGGGGAGGCCATCTTATTAAAAAGAAGAAAAACATGGCATTAAAGACCCCAAAAGGATACTGGTTTATAGTATTGGGAACTAGAAAGCAGAGCACCCTCCTGTATAGCCTCAGCTAAGAATATGTGTGTCAGGCAACTCAGATCTTTCACAACTCTGCTCATATCCATGAATAACCACAAACATGCCCAGAGTAGTCATTTGGGTCTCACAAACCAATTTTAACAAGTAGGCAGATTCAAAAATCAGAACCTGCAGGTAACAAGGCCCAAGTACATCAGCTTATTGTGGGACAACCTTTTGCTCTTTGAAACCGAGCTCCATGAAAAGGAAGATACCACCTGGTCTTCTCTCATAGTTGTACCCACAGCACTAGAGCAGGGCCTGGTGGGTTGTCAGGGCCAGATAAGTAGTCACTGAAGGACTGAGTGAGCTAATGTTTCCCTCTGCCAAGAAAGGTCTTTCTCTAACTCCCTGTCATACTCATTCCTGTCCTCCAAAGCACACCTCAAAAACAATCTCCCCTAACTTCCAAAGATAGTTACACTTCCTATTAGGCTCCCTGCGCATCTTGAGTTTATCTCTATCATAATAGTCATCAGATTGTATTTTAATTATTTATTTACTTATTAATCTCCATTAATTGGCTGACAATTCCTATAGGAAATATCAGTTTCATAATTATCTTTGTCTCCCCAGCATCTAAGGTCTTGGCTGACATATATTAGGCATTCAGCAAATATTTCTTTAAAAAATAAATATTTATACTTTACAAACTTGTTTCCTTAACCCATGTTCTAAAATGTGCTACTTATCTGAGGGGTATCGTTCAAAGAGATTTTCTCCCTATTTATTTAAAGAAAAATCCTTTGTGTTTCTCTTGTTAAATCAGAACTCCGTGGAATCCACCACCAGGGCTACCTCTAGCGTCGATGGTCTGTGCAACTAAAACAATTAAGGGATTTCCTCTGTGTGGAAAAGTGATGAATGCTGAGATGTTAGCTGAGTGAGAGACAACGACAAAAGCCTCCATGAGGCCGGCGCCGCGGCTCACTAGGCTAATCCTCCGCCTAGCGGCGCCGGCACACCGGGTTCTAGTCCCGGTCGGGGCGCCGGATTCTGTCCCAGTTGCCCCTCTTCCAGGCCAGCCCTCTGCTGTGGCCAGGGAAGGCAGTGGAGGATGGCCCAGGTGCTTGGGCCCTGCACCCCATGGGAGACCAGGAAAAGCACCTGGCTCCTGGCTCCTGCCATCGGATCAGCGCGGTGCGCCAGCCGCAGCGCGCCGGCCGCGGCGGCCATTGGAGGGTGAACCAACGGCAAAAGGAAGACCTTTCTCTCTGCCTCTCTCTCTCACTGTCCACTCTGCCTGTCAAAAAAAAAAAAAAGCCTCCATGAAGGGCCAGTGGGTAAAACTGCCACCTGCAAGCAATGCCAGCATCCCATTTGGGCACCAGTCTAAGACTCAGCTGCTCCACCTCCAATCCAGCTCCCTGCGAATGTGCCTCGGAAAGCACTGGAGGATGGTCCAAGTGCTTGTGTCCCTACACCCACGTGGGACATCCAGAAGAAGCTCCGGACCCCTGACTTCGACCTGACCCAGCCCCAGCAGTTACAGCCATCTGCAGAGTGAACCAGCGGATGGAAGATCTCTCGATCTCTCTCTCTGTGTCTGTCTCTCTCTCTTCCTTTCTCCATGTAACTCTTACTTCCAAATAAATAAAGAAATCTTTTTTAAAAAGCCTTAACAAAACATCAGGTCAACAATGGAGAATATTTTAGATATTTTTAGAGTTGTCAAATAGAGCTTTTATTGTTTTCTCAAAATAGAATAATGTGTGTACTTCATGTAATTATTATTACATAACTATGCTGAAATATGAATCCAGAATTTTACCATTAGCTACAGGGTTATTATACCCCTGAATTCTTTCTGGGTTTTATAACCTGGCTCACTCCTCCAAGCTAATAGATCCACAGCCTCCAGGTGAGGCCAGCATCGTCCCATAGGGTAAGCCTTCTGACCACCACCCATCCCACCACATCATATCCATCTTTCAAAGCCCAGACCAAGCTCAACTGCTCAACTGCTCCTGAGGCACTGACTCCAACCATTTCCTCCAACTGGATCTCATCTTCATTTCCCTCCATTTATTACTGTGCCAAACATTTAATTCTTACTTCATCAGCTAAAGCTTATCATGAGTTTCATGAGCACCCATATTTTAGGCAAGGACATCTAGAATTATTGTGTCTCAAATAATCCTCAGGTGTCTAGAAGACAATAAGTATTCTGATTAAACGTAGGTGTGGATATAAGGCTACTTGAAAAAACAGTAAGATTTCTATTATATGATAACAAAAATAGCAAGATCTTCTGTTTATAATGTCATGTAATATTACCAACATCCAAATAAGACAACTTACTATTGTTTTCTGCATAAATCCTTATGACAGGCATCAATTCAAAGAGCACTTTGGGTTTTGATTCAGTGAGTTTCATGTTCCTCTTGTCCCAGCCAGCACCTTCAAGATATAAGCCGTAGACATAGACACCCTCTGTGGGAGGGGCAAGAATGTCATCTCTCATCCATTTGGTGACTTCATTGCAAAGCACCATGTTGTCCAGAGCCCAGCCTTTGTTGGCCCGAGTTATTTCCTATTCAGGGTGGCAAATGACGAAGGAAGCAATTAGAGTTTTTTCTTAGGAGAGTGTGACAATGATTAAAGTTCAGCTACAAATAATCCCAATTTAAAAGAAATGAAAGAGTATTTAAAGAATTAAAAAGATTCTCTCATAAAAATACCCACGTCTTCATATGACCACATGTACTTTAAAAATATATGTCAAATCAGGCATGAAAGAATAAATAATTTGGAATTCATCTAGTCGGCCGAAAACAAATGATTGGATTTATGTTCATGACAATGTGATTGCCAGTACCAAAAAGAGACGGTCATCATCTAGTTTATCCTATTATTCTATTATTGAAAGCTATAATGAAAGAAGAAATTCTTGCAGAGGAAAATGTAACAACACAATGGTACAAATCAGAACTCTCACCTGTCGCATTGCAGTTAAAAATCCTTGTGGATTAAAAAAGCCTGTCATCCAAAAGCAATGGGGTCGGCCATTGAAAACCCAAGAGGTAAACTGGCAGTTCCTTTCTATTAGTTCAGTAAACCAGAAACCCAGGGTACTTGAAACCCACGATGCCTGAAATACAAATATTAAAAAATTAATTAACATGGGTTTAATCTGCTATACTAACTGGCTATGTTACTGAAAAAAATGAAATATCAATTTCACTTTTACAATGACACTGTCCCTGAGTTGTGAATTTCCCTTGGGATCTGACATATGACCTTTCCAAATTATTCCTTTTCCTTCAAGATATTAATGACACAAAGATATGATAGAACCAGCTAATCATCACATGAATAACAGGTCAATTCACAGAGCAATTCAAGATGTCTGATGTCCATAGAGTCACTTTCCACAAACCATATATTCATGAACATTTTTACTATGGAGCAATCAAAGAAATGTTTTGGATTATACCTAATAGGACTCCACCATTTTTCCTTAGAATTCAACTTCAATATTATTTCAGGGTTTTTATTTACATAAACATGCTCATGGCCTCATCCAGAGAAATCCTCGACACTTTAAAATACATTCTCTGGGCAATAAATCATAGAATCCTTTCTCTATTTATTTTTAATGAGGTAAACAACAGTTACTTTGTGTGGTGTTTACCTCTTTAGAATATACTTTCATTTCCTCACATAAAGGAGCAGAAATGGAAACCCAGGTTTCTTTCACAATGACAAGTGATTTGCATTCACTGCCTCTATCTTTCTCCTCAGGGAGAACTCAGGCTCATGTGTGGAACTTCCACTATGACAACTGGCATGGGTATGTCATTAATATAAGAAGTAGCATTGGCAGGGATCACCAAATCACCTATGTATCAATCAATGTAGTAATTAACCTGGGTAGGTATATCACTTGAATTTCAAATATCTTGAGAATTAATTTACCTATTTTTCAAGAGCTACTGAGATCCCAAAGACTGATAATAAGTGAAGAGGGATAAAAACCTGAATAAAAGGGTCACAATTTAGAAATTAAGTAACTCATTATATACCACATAAGTGTGACAACTAAAACAGACCAGTTTATACCACATTTTGTCTGAGAGTAGAGGGGGCCATCAATGGGAGGGTGTCTCCTGGAAGGATACCTGTTTCAAAGTCTCCAGGTGCTGGCCCAATTGGGATAGCTGATTCAGTGGGGAATGAATTTTCAAAGGCCAGTGACCTGGAAGGTTCTCCCTCTGTTGTTGGCATTGAAAAGAGGCAATTCAAATAGAAAACTCTCTGGCCTTGGCAATGAGTTTTTGAAGACAAGAATAAAACGAAGAGTTCTGGTCAAAGCTGACTCTGGTTTCTAAGCTCTGTGATGGTGTCTGAGGTGGAGAATACAACAAGATGAAGCCTTAATTGCTATATGCTGCCTTCAGGGCCCAGAGCCTTGGAATCTGCTGAAACCGTGAGTGACATATGCGGCTCAGCACTACACGAGTCTTCTCCAAGAGACCACCTGCTCTAACCCCTGCACATCTCACCTGCCTACTGATCTGAGTCTCCTGCAGATGGTCAAGCCTCCAGTCAGTCCCACCTGCCATTTCATCTCTAGATGCTGCCCTCTCTGTTCATACCTCAATATGACCCAATCTCCAGCCTCCCTGCCCTCTCCAGACCTTCCACTATACCATCAACATTTTCAAATCTGTCATCAGGAAACTCTTAAAATACAGGTTACTGCCTTCGTCATACTCCACAGCCCTCATCACCAGCCTCTGTCATTTCTGACTGTTAGTGTCAGGCCACCACTGCCCATCATTCTCTTCCTTTGAGTCTCATGCCATCTGGACATATCACTCTTGCCCTTCTTATCATTTTCATCTACTGATCACACCACCTACGCATCAAGAATTTAGGCTCCTGGTTTACCCTTCCACTCAATCCCCCAAATAATCATGATAATGATGATGGCAGTGGTATTAGTGATGGTGGTGGTATGGCAGAGGTGATGGTGGTGGCAAAGGTGATGATGGTGACAGGCAGAGTGGACAGTGAGAGAGAGAGAAAGAGAGAAAGGTCTTCCTTTTGCCATTGGTTCACCCTCTAATGGCCGCCGCGGCCAGCACACCGCGCTGATCCGATGGCAGGAGCCAGGTGCTTCTCCTGGTCTCCCATGGGGTGCAGGGCCCAAGCACTTAGGCCATCCTCCACTGCACTCCCTGGCCACAGCAGACAGCTGGCCTGGAAGAGGGGCAACTGGGACAGAATCCGGCGCCCCAACCGGGACTAGAACCCGGTGTGCTGGCGCCGCAAGGTGGAGGGTTAGCCTAGTAAGCCGCGGCGCTGGCCAACACATCCTACTTTCAACGCTGTATCTTCTCTATCATAATTAACCTTAGCAATTTCATTTACATCTCCCCACACAATGGGCATGCTTATAACACACACACACACACACACACACATTCACACTGAAATATGGTACAAAGAGAAGGAAGCCATTTAGGCTCCATTCCCAAAAATGTCCTCTCCGAAAATACTTATTTTCATACATGCAAAGACAGGAGTTAATTTTATCAAACCTATATGTTTATGGAGTCATGTCGACTCATCTAGACATATTCGGTGTCTTTATTTAAATTAGTATTCTTTAAAACCACATCTGGGCCAGTGTCGCAGCTTACTAGGCTAATCCTCCGCCTGTGTTGCCAGCACTCTGGGTTCTAGTCCCAGTTGGGGCGCCAGTTCTGTCCCAATTGCTCCTCTTCCAGTCCAGCTCTCTGCTGTGGCCCGGGAAGGCAGTGGAGGATGGCCCAAGTGCTTGGGCCCTGCACCCGCTTGGGAGACCAGGAAGAAGCACCTGGCTCCTGGCACGCTGGCCGTGGCAGCCATTTCGGGGGTGAACCAATGGAAGGAAGACCTTTCTCTCTGTCTCTCTCTTTCACTGTCTAACTGCCTGTCAAATTAAACACACACACACACACACACACACACACATCTGTCTAGCACAAGTGCCAAGAAGTAATCAGTAAGCATACTATTAAATTATTATCTTGTTGAGATCCACACAGTACACACCGTATTACTCACACAGCAAATAAAACATTTTTCTTGTTGGTGTGATTTTTATATACTGATATATGTATGTCCAAGGATGCTGCATTCAAAAAAGCTAACATCATGGGCTTGTTAAGTCCTGGAATTTGAGTTAAATTCTGATCTGGAAAAACATATAATCCTTCCCTCCCAACCTCAGGATCCTCATCTGCAAATGTAAAATGAGAGCAATACCACACAAACTTTAAGTGAAAAAATGCATGCAGATTGCCTGATAGAGCCTGTGATGTGTGCGACTCACTGCACTGAGGGATTCTTCCCTAACCCAAGGAACTGCTCTAAGTAAAGTAGCCTTGGTTGCTTTCCACTTGCCAACTGCCACGATTCACGACGGTGTTTATGCAGCAGGAAAGCGGGCGTGTACTTACTTTCTTCCACTGAGCCGGAATTCGGGCGTCAAACATGCAGTCCAACGCGTCTCGCAGGCTTTCGCTCATGACGATGGTGCCGTCGATGGCGAGCTGGAGCTCAGTCAGGGTGCTGCGGACCAGGCTGAGGACCCTCTGCATTCGGTCAATCTCCTGCCTGAGAAAAATGTTCATCGGCTGGAACGCACCCATCTTTTGCAGCCTCTCCTTCACCTGTCAGGGAGACATTAAAGCACATGTTCAAAATTAGACATTAGATCATTAACTGAAACTAATGACTTTATGGAGCTGGTACCATGGGACTTCCTAAATATGTCCCATTTTTTCTTTTAATTCCATTAAAAAATTCTTTCCAATGACACAAAACAGGCAATAATCAGTCTGAATTCTCATACCATGTGGGAAAGACCAGGCAGTCATTAATCCACAGAAGAGCATGAAACACACAGCCACAACCACACAGTCTTCCGGACAGCAAATGCTCTTATTTGGGAAATATCCCCTTACATCAGTCTGAGCTGTTTCAAACACATGTGTGTATAACTACAAGCAGAAGGGCATGTATATGCAACCATTCTACTGGTTGTCTCAAGCAACTAGACTTGTATTTCTCCATCAAAGCATCCATCTATCCATCTGCATCCTACAAGAATTTACTTAGTCTTCTATATACTAGAGCTTCTGCTAGACTGAGTTGCTTTATTCTAAGGTAGCAATGATAAATTCAGCAAAGGGAGAAGTTTTCCACATCTACTTAGAATGTTTATTTACATAATTATTACTCTATTTTTAGATGTTTTTATTGCTTCATAAATATTTCAACCCCTGTTGGATGTGAATGACCTCTCTCCTGATTCTGTAATGAAGAGTGCTTATGAAACCTAATAAGAGTATTGATTTTCTCCAGCCAAGTGAATGAAGATTCTTCCAGGGAAATTATTCCCTTGATGATAGGTCTTTGAGTTCAGTCTGTAGCATTAGCAGCCAAAATCATTGGCTTAGTAGGAAACAACAGAATGCAAAAGACACAAAATTCTGCAAGATTCCTTTTGAAAAGCCAGATGAGAATGTGAAAAACTACCAAGAAGCATGGTGACTTTGTGACAGAAGTACCATGTGGTTAATTCAGGTCATCCCTTTAGACTACATGGAAAGTAAGCCATTTCTGTTTGCTTTTATCAAAGATTTTTGAAAATATTACCAGGGTGAAGCATCTCACAATATTAATTATAATGTATAAGATATTAATTTTCAGGGCAAGTATTTGGCATAGCAGTTAAAACACCCATTAAGATGTCCATATCCCCTATCAGAATGCCAGGGCTGGAGTCCTGGTTTAGCTCCTCATTTCAGGTTGACTGTGTACCCTGGGAGGTAGCAATGATGACTTGAGTAGCTAGGTTCCTGCCACCCATGTGGGAGAACTAGACTGAGTTCCTAGCTCCTAGCATCAGTTTGCCCAAGCCCCAAATCTTATAGGCCTTTGCAGAGTAAATCAACAGATAGAAAAATCTCTCTCTCTTTCCACATATGTGTCCCTCTCTCCCTCCCTCCCAAATAAATAAATTTCATAATAATAAATTTGCTTAGAAGCTAATTACATAATGAAATACCAATTTTCAAAACAAGTGACATAAAGATGCTGCAAAGGGGTCACTAAATAAATGCAGACTTTCTGAAATTAAGAGGACTTGAATTTTAATTTATATATATATATATTTTAAATCAGGTGTTTTAATCTGATATTACACTGCTTTCCTTTCAAGAAATGGCAATAGGAAGTACCTGTAGGAAGGTTCTAGAAAGCAATCCTAATCTATCAGAAAATAAATATAATTTAAGAACAAATATCAACATCCTCACCAGGTTTCTTTACCGCTTATATTGAAACAATTAAATTCATGGACTCAAAAACATCTTTGTCTAGTTCTTTAAGAAGCTGGTTCTTATATTTTTTCTTTTTTAAAAAATATTTAATTATTTATTTGAGAGGCAGAGTTACAGACAGAAAGAGGGAGAGGCAGAAAAAGGTCTTCCATCTGCTGGTTCACTCCCCAAATGGCTGCAATGGCCAGAGCTGAGCCAATCTAAAGGCAGGAGCCAGGAGCTTCTTCCAGGACTCTCACTGTGGTGCAGGGGCCCAAGTACTTGGGCCATATTCCACTGCTTTCCCAAGCCATAAGCAGAGAGCTGGATTGGAAGCACAGCACTTGGGACACGAACTCTCGCCCACATGAGAAGTTGGCGCTACAGGCAGAGGCTTAACCTAATATGCCACACCTCTGGCCCCTATATATTTTTTTTTAATTTCAGAAAAGTTATCTGTGCCTACCTTCCTTCCTCCTTACCCTCCCTCCACCCCAGCTCCACTCCTAGAACACACACAAACACACAGAGTTGACATTTTGTCAGGATCTTGGCCACTCACATCAAATGGGCTGTAGTTCAGGGGCAGCTTCTCTAGCATATCATCAGCCAGCCGGGCCACCACAGCCTCCCGGGTCTCATCCCCTCCTCCAGAGCTGTCTTTGGGTTGGATGCCCAGGATGGTGTCCAGCACGTCCTTGGACAGCTTGCTCTGGTAAGTGATGTCTGCATTGGGGTGCAGTCCAAAGACCTCCGGACTGTCATAGGCAGGCAAGCTCTGGACAACACAACACAGACAAGCACAGACTGGCAACCTGAGCACAAGATAAATTCTATTGTCTGAGAAAATACAAATGTTTTGGTTAGGCTAAGCATTTCTGTGATGTGTCTTCTTTCTGTCAAGCTACAAACCTCAGCAATTTCTAACCTTGAAAAACACAAAATAGGCTCATGGATCTTTAAGATTTGGACCACAATTGCGATTTCATTAGGGATACTATATTGTGGTACAATATGGGAGACAGAAATGGGGTTATGAATTGGCATTTTCTTCCTGATCATCTAATCCAATTCAAACCACCTGTTGAAATAGATGTTGTATAACTAACAGTTAATGTAAGATGGCACAAGATACCAGGAAATAAGATTATCAAACATGGATCAAATAAAGCCACAGGTGGCAGTTGTACTCTCCCAGAGAGAAAGAGACTAGAAAAAGAGATTCAGAGAGCAACAGAGTTAGGAAGAAAAACAAACAGGAGAGATAGAAATACCAAAAACAGAACAAATGAACAAAAAACCTCCTCCACCAAAAACAGAAAATTGCCTAAAATTTGACTTACATTTCTATGTAGAAATCTTCTCCTTAACTTAATTGTTGTCTTATTTATACTTTCCCTCCATTCTTCTCCCTTATTTTATTCCTCTTTACATAATGTCTTCTTATGAGATATTCAAATGCATTGTGAAATGGAGTATATATTTAAAAATATATATATGGGTATGCCTAAATTTACACTTTCCTAGACACTTTTCCTATTTATTGCTAATGATTTAAAGACACATAAAGTACAGTAAAACGAATACATTTGTTGTTTTGAATTTTAAAAGTGTAGAAGTGGTAATATATGATAAACTCATTATGTTTATATATCAAAAAATCCTGTAAATATACTGATAAATTAATCCTTTGAGAGTAACTGTGCTGCAATTTGTTCATTCAGAGATAAATCATAAGAGACCAAAGAGAACACTAAATCATAATTTAATGAATTCAAGGTATAGAAACAGAAAATATTGTTACCTTTGATTTTTTTTAACCCCTACATGATCCCAAATTTCCTGTTAAAGTCTACTTTATGCCTTCTTAGAGAAGTTCTTCTCAACCAGGGAGAATTTCTCCCCCAAGAAAACATTTGGTAATATCGTTTTGTTTTGTTTTGTTTACAGGCAGAGTGGACAGTGGGAGAGACAGAGACAGAAAGAAAGGTCTTCCTTTGCCGTTGGTTCACCCTCCAATGGCCACCGCGGCCGGCGTGCTGCAGCCAGCGCACCACGCTGATCCGAAGCCAGGAGCCAGGTGCTTCTCCTGGTCTCCCATGGGGTGCAGGGCCCAAACACTTGGGCCATGCTCCACTGCACTCCCAGGCCACAGCAGAGAGCTGGCCTGGAAAAGGGGCAACCGGGACAGAATCTGGTGCCCCGACCGGGACTAGAACCCAGTGTGCCGGCGCCGCAAGGCAGAGGATTAGCCTATTGAGCCGTGGCGCCAGCTGATAATATCTTGAGATATTGTTGGGTCTCACAACTAGGTGTGGGGTTGTGCTACTAACATCTAGTGGTCAGAGGCCAAGGATGCTGATAGACATCTTACAATGCACAGGACAGTCTCCCACACCGAGAATCATCCGACTCCAAAAGTCACCAGGGCAAGGTTGAGAGACCCTGCCTAGAGGAAGCTCTCACACAAAGCAGGTTCCTGATATACCCATATGCTGTCCATTACACCAGGGTTAAGGGATAGATGGCAAAGGATGAGTCGAGTGGATGGAGAAACAGCAGAGCAAGTCTAAAGGATGTCTCTCCCCTGCTGCTGTGACAGCTGAAATCTCACAGCAGAGTGCTGCAGGCATCTGTGCCCATGCCCTAGTTCTGAATCTGCCCCATCTTTCATCTTCCCAAAGGGAATCACGACTGAGGCACTGGAAGAGGGGCTGCGGAAGGAATTCATGTGAAACACACACTCAGAACAAGACAAACATTTTCATCACCCAGTGAATAAAAAATATGGAGAAAGCATCTATAACAGAAGCTTTGGAATATATCACCATTAACATTCATTTTAGAAACAGTACAGGCAGTATAAATAAATATACAAAAGGTCAAATGGCTGCAAATATTTATTCTAGGCATAAAATTCTGAAGTTGACAAACCTGGATATATTGGAGATAGTTGTCCACAGTGCTGCATTTTGGAATATTGTATCCTTGATAAAAGTTGAAATCTGGTCCAAACATATTTTCACTGAACCAAACCTTAGCAAATGTGTTCAGCAACCTCTTATCATAGTCATCAGTGACTCTGCCTCCATATTGAATCTCTCCTATCATGTAGCGGACGGTGGTCCAGGACACACCCTGAGAAAGTTCACAGAATAATTAAGTAGAACTGACTGCCACCTTGTCATTAATCTCGCTGCCAAGTAACATCTACGTATTCACCCTCATCGGCAGTATTCACACTACCAGCCTTTCCTCACCAAGAATGTGAAAGGAAGTGAAGAGACAAAATTAGATATGCAAACACAAGTTGCTACTCAAAGCTCATGTTCAGGACTTCAAATTGGCTTCTTAATGCATTCAAGTGTTTTCAGACTTTAATATTAATGGGGAAAAAGTTTACTAATGACAATATTGAGGTGGTTCTTTAAAAAACAAACACTGCAAGAATAATCTAGACTCTCATTTTCATGTCTTAGGATTAAAAAAAAAATTATCCCCACTCTGCCCCCACAGTTGCCCACTCCAGGTCGTCATATGGAATACCACTTTGCCTTTGAGAAAGAAACAATAATAAAAATATGTCTGATCTTTCACACCTCAAGCAAGGACAGAGTCAGCCTAGAATGAAATGGCCCAAGCCTGGCCTCTCTCCCCTACCCCTACTACTAGGGCACATCTAGGCAAGGTCCAGCCTTAAAGGATCCTTGCTTCTGGCAAGAGATGATCTGAGATCGGCAGATCTTCTGGACCAGAGCACAGGTTTTCTCTTCACCAACGCCACAAGAGCTAGAGGAAGGGCTGCCAACGGCTGCCCCCTTTTTTCCTCAGCTAGGGTTTTTTGGGGACAGGGTCTGGCAACGTGATGATCTTAGCGGATAATCTGCTGAGTTCCCTGTCAGTTACCTTTCAGCCCCTAGAAGGGAATGTGGGGCCCACCTCTTTTTGTACGTACACCACTCAATGCCCTTCCCTCTTACACACACATTGCAAGCCTTCCCTCTCAAACAAAAAACAAGACAAAAATCTGCCCATGTTTTCTTGAAATAAAAAGGTAGTACAGGCGCCAGTGCAGGTCGTGTAGCGGGTAAAGCCACTGACTGCAGCCAGCATCCCATATGGGTGAAGGTTCGAGTCTTGGCTGCTCTACTTCCAATACAGCTCCCTGCTGATGTGCCTGGGAAAGCAGTGGAAGAGGGCTCGAGTGCTTAAGCCCCTGCACCCACATGGGAGACCCAAAAGAAGCTCCTCGCCCCTGGCTTCATATTGGCCCAGCTCCAACCATTGCAGCCATCTGGGCAGTGAACCAGATGATGGAAGACATATCCATATGTCTATCTGTCTGTCCCTCTCTCTCTCTCTCTCTCTCTCTCTCTGCCAGTGCCTCTCTGTAATTCTACCTTTCAAATAAATAAAATAAATCTTTAAAAAAGGCAATGTAATTTAGAAGATGATTTTGCAAGCACAGAATATCTTCGTCTTACATAATCTGCCCCAAAGCAGGGCAGTCAAGTGAGCTGGATGACCCAGGCCCACCAACTACAGGTGGCAAGGTAGCAGGTATAGCAGTACCTTTTTGACATCCATGTCATCTAAGTGGTTTTGGATGAACTGCACGGTGGCATTGAAGTCTGCTTGATTAAATTCATAGGGGATATTCCACCCTAGGGCACCAAACTTGCGCCTCTCCTGGACCGTGGAGTGCAGGAAAGCCACTGCGTACAGCATGGGCTTCCACTGGGTCCCAGAGCTCACATCCAGCAAGTCTTGGCTCACACCTGCCATTATCAGTTGGGTGAAAAAAAAAAAAGTATCATCTCTCAAATATCTTTACTTTCTATTACTTTTATAGGTAATTAATTACTTTATCAATTCTGACTATTCACTTATTTTGATTTATTTCTATGATAAGTATAATTAACTTTTGTTTGTCGAGAGGCCATTTCCAGCAGGTTAATGTGGGGCTAACAATGAGATGGAAGGATAATGGCAGTTAAAATACATACTACTGCTACTATAACCACCTCTACTCATTAGCATATTATTATTATTTGGGGATTATACTTAGAACATTTACTTTTAATGAACTTTATAGTAATTAAGATAGTAATACAGAAGTGCATTATACCCCAAGAATATGATCCAAACAATTTACTCCAAATTTAAATGTTATATTTAATCATTTATTATTTGACTTTTTTACTGCTATTATCATCCACTCTATTTTATCTTGGATATTGGCTAGAATTCAAATCTTGTTGCCAAACCAATAAAATATTCACTCATATTTTCCAGACTGAAATATAATTGTTACATTATTATTCACTATATCATTTTAATTAAAATTCATTCCCATCCTCTTGGAAGGATCTTATTGTCTCTATTTTACACACAAGAAAACTGAAATACAAGCTGCTTGGGTGACTGGCACTCAAGAGAACAAAGCACTTGTTAACACCTAGTTCCAGAATGAAGATTTTTGGCTCCAAGTCCCAGAGGCAACACTCCACAAAGCAGAGGAAGCAAAGACAAAGAGCACAAACTCGGTTCCAATCACAACTGGAGGGACATCTGAGTCTCTTTTTGTTGATTTTCTGTACTGTTTGATTTTTGACTCAGCATTCTGACAGATGGCCCTAATGACATGAAAGCAGGCTGTAACTTTGGTACAGACTCTCCTCTTAGAAGAGGCTATGGTACCACTTCAAGTACCGGGCACAAAGAGCATAAGACAAAATTGCCTATGCTTGATGTTAGCATAAAAAGGCAGACATATAGGCAAAAAAAAAGAAGCCTAAATATAGCAAGGTTGGGAAAATAAATGGAAAAGGGAGAATCATGCTCTCTGATTCCCCAACACTGCCAGAGCGCATCCCACAAGGACCATGACAAAGGAGACTTCCCATGGTACTATCTACTGTAACTGTATTTTAGCCAATTCTGACTTTACAGTTTCACTAAGCAAACCAGTCAGTGCGAAAAATTCAAGTAAACTCAGAAGCACGCCTCGACTCACCCCCATATGTCCTTTTCAGCCCTGCCCGCAGGCCTTGTGGCGGCTCATTGGCAAATCGGATGGACATCTGAAGGAGTGTGATAGGAAACTGCTTGTGAACCTCAGTGGTCATCCACAGGCGGAAGGCATCGTGGACAACATCAGTTTCTAAAATTATGTCCATTAACTCATCCATGAAATCGAGTCCCAGATGGCAGTTCTGCAGAAGCGCCCATCCTCCCTAAGTGAATGACAGTACAAGGAAATTAGGTGATTTTGTGTTCTGCCCAAATTAACCACTATGCTTTTTGGAAATTAAATAATTACAATTTAATAGAAAAGTATACTCACCCCTTTAAATTATCTAGGTCAAATCTAAGCACACAATGCTATTTAAGGGAGAGAAGCTATATTTTTCTGTTGTTTCATACATTTGTTCCATAGTATATACTTTCATGCCAATTATAGTAAAGATCTATAGGAGTAATCATGAAAACAACCAAAATAAAACATAAAAAGAGATAATAGGACTTCCAATAAAGACGGCTGATTGAAAACATCCACATAGCTCAGCTCTCTCCCCAAATTCCATTAAACTACAATACAGGGATTTTTTAAATAAGGAATGAATTTTTTTTAAAGAGAGAGAGAGACAGAGAGAAAGGTCTTCCTTTTCCATTGGTTCACTCCCCAAATGGCCACCACAGCTGGAACTATGCTGATCCAAAGCCAGGAGCCAGGTGCCTCCTCCTGGTCTCCCATGCGGGTGCAGGGACCCAAGCACTTGGGCCATCCTCCACTGCCTTCCCGGGCAACAGCAGAGAGCTGGACTGGAAGAGGAGCAGCCAAGACTAGAACCCGGTGCCCATATGGGATGCTGGCGCCGCAGGCGGAGGATTAACCCAGTGAGCCATGGAGCCAGCCCCAGGAATGAAATTCTTAAGGACAAAGATAGTGAGGTATCTCAGTAACATTTAAAGCAGATTTAAGAAAGTTGAATCTGGAGCCAGGGTTGTGGCCCAGTGGGTTAAGCTGCCACCTGCAATATCAGCATCCCACATGAGCACCAGTTCAAGTCCCAGTTGCTCCGTTTCTAATCCAACTCCCTGTTAATGCACATGGGAAAGCAGCAGAAGGTGGCCCAAGTAGTTGGACTCTTGCCACTCATCTGGGAGAAGCAGATGGAGTTTTGGGCTCTGGGCTTTGGCCTGGCCCATTCCCCGGAACTGCAGCCATTTGGGGACTGAACCAGATGAAAGATGATCAATATCTCTCTATCCCTCTGTGTCTCTTCTCTCTCTCTGTAAACTTAACTTTCCAATAAATAAATCATTTTAAATAAATGATCTTTGTAAACAGTTTAAGATTTACCTGCCAAGAACTGTAATTAAACATCCTGGTAATAAACATTTTTATTCTAAGTATAATAATATCCACATTGTGCAAACTGACTGGGATATGGATGTTCTGTAAAAGCCAAGGCTCAGCATAAAAAGTCTGAAATTTGTATTTGCTTCTCCATGAAAATTTTCTAATAGACATACCTTTCCCTGCTTATAAACAGCAGACAGCATATAATCTAATCTCTTAATAATTCATGATGTTTTTTATACATTGCAATTCCATAACCTGAATATCAACAGCAAAACTCAATAGACATTTGGCCTTACATGTGTCATGGTCTGCTGCAGGAGCTTTCGAGCATGGACCTCCTGGCCCTGGCCCATGGACACATAACGGGTTTCTATTTTTAATCTCTTCCCCAAGGCGATGATGGAATCTGTGGGGTCTGAGCCCATAGACAGGAGACAGATGAGTGGTGTTCGTGGATCAGATTCCTCCCATGTCTTTTCCAAGTCCAGGATAACTCCTTCTGCGTACTTTTCTCCCATGGAGTCCATGATGTACTTCCGAGCCTGCCAACAACAGTACAGGAGTCAATAAAAATAGTTCCAACTCCTTCATGCATAAATGCAGTATGGTTTCCAAAATTCATTTCTGCAGATTATCTCAGTGATGTTAATAGCCCTGCCAGGGAAATATGACAGAGGCTTTTCTCCTGTTTGTTTGTTTATACGCCCATTCCACAGGAAGAGAGGCTGTGTCACTTGCCAAGCACAAAACCATCCAGTTAAAAAACAAGTGCTCAAGTTAGATGGTTCCTGGTCTGGAGCCCATTTCAATATGCTGGCTGCTTCTTTCTATACATAAAAAATGAAAATGTTAAGAAACCCTATTATTTGGCATGCTTTAGAGCAAATATGCTTGTATATGCATTTAAATAACAAGGAAAGCAACATAATGCCTGAGATTTAATGGGTACTTATCAAATAGACAGCAACTGAATGAATATTTATTGAATGAAATTTGTTGGATACACATTGAATGAAAGAATGAATTCTATAAAATATTTACTCTATAATCTTTCTCTCACCATTGTCACCACACCTTTCCTCATTGGCTCATATCTTTTACTATTAATTTTGGTTTGAATATAACCTATGCTCACAATATCACAGACTTTGTCAACTTTTTTATCAACCATAAAAACTTTTTCTATTCACAACACAGTTCTTCCTCAATATTATTTATTTTTCAACAAATGTACTGTATGGCCTTTAATCTATATTCTCCCCTCATAAATAATTATATTCCTTAAAAAAATTTCTCCTACATTTATGTCTTCTGCCGCCTGAAATGGGTAAAACCTTGTTTTCTCTTCCCCAGTAGGATTTCCCAGAATGATAGTTCTCACACAAGCAGAGCCCAGCAGTGGAGCAACAAGCCCTAGAAGCCTCCCAAAGGCTGGTTCCTGGAGAACCCCAAAACAGCCTCAGGAGCCTTCAAATGAATCAACATTTTTTAGACAGACCTGGACTCCTGTGGAGCAAGAATTGGTGAAACCATTATCTTAGGCTTAAAAGAACCCAGAGTTTGACTTCAGCCAGTAATTCAGTCTCTTCCTCATCTTAAATATCTAGCTATGCTCTATTCATCCCCCAGCTGAATGTCTTACCCCCAAGTCTCTAACCTACAAATTGATATGATGTTCCCCAGTGGCCTCAACAAAGGAATCACCTGAGTTGCTATCTCCTATTGCTAAGAAGGGGTAATGGGTACCAACTGAGTCTAGGCTGTTGAATGACCAGAATGGCTCAACTAGTGATTGCTCCTAGTTTGTAGGCACTCCCTAAACAAGTTTTACTATTCACAGGGCAAAATGTCCCTTTCAAAAGCAGTCTCGCATGAAATCTTCCCCATAAGAACACACACACACACACACACACACACACACACACACAAATGAGCACAGCCCTGCTTCATAATATCAGAGAAGCTCTTACAGAAAGAGTGGGGACATTTTACTGTGGGTTCCCTCTCCTCTGAAGTCATAATCCCTCCCCCATAATGCCAGTCTACCCCATCAATGGCAGATTAAGAGGCATGCCAATTTGGGAAAGCAAACAGGTTTTCCTTTCTTAGTAGCTATCACTAGGTGACTTTGCGGAAAGGCTCCCCACCTTGCTTCTCCAAGGTCGAAGAAGCGGTAGTCAGAGCCCTCACTGGTAAGGCTAGCCAGTGGCAATGAAATGGCTAGTCAGTGCCATTTACTAGTTTTGGTGCTGGGAGAAGTGTTGAGGAAGGAGCATTTAGTCCATTTAAATTTGGGGCACGGGATGGGGCATGGTAGTATACCACTCATTTTCTTACTTTTCAATATTTTCTCCAGGATGGCCAGCTCCAAAGTCTCTAACCTGAGTTTAAATGCTCATACATTTTCAGCCTGTTCTAGGGATTTTAAAAGTTTGTCTGACATATTTTTTTGACCTCCTAAAAAGTCTATTCTCTGTTCACAGTCAGTGCCATTTAAGTAGTGAGCTTTGTGATCATGAAGGACATCAAAGGTTGGATGCTCAGGCACTCCCCAGTTGCATCTGTTTCTCATCCATGCGAACCTGCTGTTGTTGGAGCACCTCCAATGGTGTACCTCACTGGGACTTCAAGGCTTCCTACTCCAGAATGCTAGGAGTCCAAAATCATTAAGGGTACTCTACACATCCAGGTAAGTCATGGATTTGAAACCACAACAGACACATGCTAATGGAGTGCATTTCTTTTTCTTTCTGACTATACCTTCAATGCAACACCCTGCATTATTTTACTTAGCCAGCAGGTTAATCCTATCAGGCACTACTGGATCTCCCATCCCAGATAATTCCTGCATTTAACTGGTATGAACCTTGGACCCCCAAGTTCCTCTTCCTTTTTCCCAGCAGTGCTATAGGTCTTAGGGACAGAGAAGTGAACAAATAACTCTGTCCTTCCCAAAGAATGATACACACTTTGAATAATAGCAAATAACCTAGTTTTTAAGGATTCATGATTTACAGGTTAATGTGAATGCACAAAAACTGAATAATCTTGCAGAGATTTATCAGAGCAGGCTCAATTAATAAGAAGCGTTGACACTGCAGCTGCATGGATGGATGGGATTTGTTTAAATACAGAGGATGGCTGGGTGAGTCAGGATGATGAGCATGCACAGGGTACCTATGCAGAGATATCAGAACAGCAGAGAACAAGTCACTGACAGGGGACCAAAGGACATCAGTACAGCTCATGCAATGTAGTGGAATGAGGTGAAAGGTCATATCAAGATGGCCACTGACAACAGAAACTGCCTGGCAACAGGCCATGATTGGATGGCTTCGGAAACCACATGACAACAGAGCCTGACTGACGGCAGGCCATGATTGGATGGTTTCAGAAACTGCCTGGCAACATGAGGCTGACTGGCAACAGGCTGCAATTGGATGGCTTTGGAAACTGCCTGGCAACAAGCTGTGATTGGTTGGGGCACAGACCGCCCCTTGACTGGATTGGCTGGTCTTGGCTATATAAGCTGTTGTACTAACTGAAATAAACGAGTCTGCAGGCTGCTCGCCTCAGGCCTGCTTTCACCTGACTCCCAGGGGTCTGTGTGGTGACTCTGCGCCTCTTGCCCCCACCACGCTCCTCCTCTCAGAAATGAATCCACTGCGACATTGTTGAGAAATCAACTGCAACAATGTAAGAGCTGATTCAGCATGGGCCAGCCTCTTGCATAGCCTGCCAATCTTTAGGGAAAGCTAGCAGCTCATTGGTGTGAAGGACACAGAGTGCCACATTCTTACCCTGAAGAATACTTTTGTCCCAGTACCTGGACCCAGTGAGGCAGACTCAACCCTTGAGTGAGGGGATAAAATGAACAAATACATCTCCCCACTCATACTAATGTCTCTTTCTTGGGTGTTTTGAAACACAATGTTTCAAACACAAATGTGTATACAACATGAGACACTCCCCTGATGTTTCTGACATCAGGGACAGCCACATTCCACTGAAATACAACGAACAGCAATGCTTAGGGAGAGTGGGGATCGTATTCACAGTGTAGACCTTCTAATATGCTTCCCAAGAAATTGTCCACTTGAAAATCATAAAAGGAATCCAAAGAAAGATTAAGAACTACAGAGGAGAAAACACTTTTCAAGAGGGGCCTCTTAGACCTTGCTTAGGACTTGGGTACTTTATCATAAGGACCCTGGAGGCCATGGCAGGATGCTGCTATTCCTTCTGCAGTATACAGGATGGGCCCAGGTGAGCCAAAAGAAACAAAGGGAGATCAGTCGGGAAGCCATGGCCATGGTCAGCCTAGGAATGACAGCAGCCAGATAAAGATGAAAGTTACAAAGAAGCTTTGCAGACTTACATTTCAGCATTGAACCAAAGTTTTCTATGAAATATAAGAGAAGCTACTGTCGTTGAACCTTCCCTTCTATACTGCACTGAAATAGGGCAGCTCTTTGACAATTCATTTGGGCAGGATAAAAGTAATGATGTTGAGAAGAAAAACAGAAAGAAGGGTTATCTCAGTGCCCTGAGCTGCAGACCTCATTTTTCTTTTCTCCATAAATCACTGGATTGAGTTGTTTCCATGATTCCACAGTACCAAACTGAACCTGGAGGTGATTACTCCATACGTCTTTAATGCTCCCTCTGGAGAATGAAGGGGAAAATGTCCTAAATTTGATTATAAACCCCAGCCTATTGTATCCCAGGACTTATTTGGAGAGGCCCATAAGGAGTCAACCTGTGCTGAATATTAGAGCTAAACTTTAAACTCCGAAACCAACCCAGAACTTTACAGTGAGTAAATTTCAATGATGCTAGGCTAGCAGACTAGATGTCTAGGGAAAAAAATCAGCCTTCTGGAGGCAAGATTCACAATTAAAACATAAGTAAAAATTTGAACAGCTTAAGGACAACCTTCTCTCTTACATCTAGAGTCAGGATTTTTTCTAGAGCAATGACTATGGGTTTGGGAATGCTGTTCAAACCAGTAGTCTACTGTCCTCTCCAAGGCCTTAACATTATACTTACTCATACATTGTTTTCCTGTGGGCAAAGTGGAGCACCTGTGCCATTTTTGAGCTAATATAAAATTACACAGAATAACACATTGCCTTTGTTATAAAGGGCTCTTCAAAATGTTCATGGAAACGGAATTAAAAGGCAAGTTTATTTCAGTGCAGAAGATTTTGAAATCCATGTACAGTTTTTTAACATTTTCCATGTTTTTTATGCTCTGAATACTTGTATGCATGGATTTCAAAAAATTGTTGCATCAAAAGAAACATCTTTTAATTCCATTTCCTTGAACTTTTTGAAGTACCTCTATACCTATATGCCAACCTTAGAATCTTTGTTTTCTCATTTACTCTTATTGCACTACTTGGTTAAAGGATGTTAAAAAATCACTGGGCCCAAGTATATATTGCTATATGTTTAATTATTGCTTACCTTTCTATTTTCACATTTATATTGCAAGAAAATTACATAGAAGCCTACAAGAAATTCTCATGGGTACTGACATTTAAAACGTCTCCTTGAATTTAAAAGGAAATATTCTCCAGTCTTCCTATTTAAGGTATACTTTGTACCTGAGCAATGGTTCTGTCAGGACACCAGGACCTAATGAGGAGCAGACGTCTGAAGCAGTCAAGAGATTTATCGTAGGCATTTGGAAGAGGTTCCTCTTCAGGCTTTTCCTTATCAAACCAAATCTTCCACATTTTCTCATTTCTTGATATCTGAAAATACCATAGAATAAGAAATGTGTCATGCCATACAACTATTTTTAATAAAATTCATTTTTCATCACATTTTCCAGATGTGTGAAAGTGTGAAGTATGTATGAATTTTGACTATCTTTCTGATACTAATACGAAAAGTCTGATGGTTTGAAATCAAATGTGCTTTTCTCCAAAGCCAGACTGTACTAACTCCAGTCCATAGCTAGCTCTCAAATTAGGGAAAGTCTAATTTCTTCTATGCATTTTGGTAACAAATTTATCAATAGTAAGGAAATACATAGAAACTCATTTTAATTATTTTCAGGAAGTCTGATTTCTTCCACAAAATACTCTAATCATTAGGAACCAAATTTCATTCTCATAACATTTTCTCATTTCCTAGAACAATTCCTATCACCAAAAAAAAAGACATTTAGTATATGTGGACATGTATTATTGAGTGAATAGATTTTCAGCCAATATTCTTTTCATCTGTAATTTGAAATATACCATTTAATATCATAGCCAAATGAATGTTCAGATACCTGCTACCTTCAAGCAATTGGTAAGAAGTCAAAGGACACACTACATTATCCTCTAGAAATTAGAAACCAAAGGTAGACAACATTTTGTAGGTAAACATACCAAAAAACATTAGACAAACCAGTAACACCTACACATTAACATAATCTTATGTTCTTAGGTATATTCCCTTTGATTAAATCCTCAAGTGTATCTCCTGAAGTATAGTAAAAGGGAAAAAAAAGTCTAACTTGATATGTAGAAAGAATGGGAAGGGGTTTCAGGCATAAGATACAACTTCTGGTCTGGGTGAGGTCCCAGGGGGCCACTGCATGGGGGAATAAATAAGAATGCATAAACTAGGAAAGTCAAGAGCTAACCTCAGAACATTTTGCAATAAGAAAAAAAAAACTTTAATTATAGCTAAATAAAGCCACCTTTATTGCTGCCAATAGCTGCCAAATTTATTGCTGCCAATCCCACTTCTCTGTGGTTACTTGATTGTAAAGGCCAAGTATTTCCTTGAGATTCATATCCAGATGACAAAACAGTATAACGAGAAGAGCAGAAGAGGAAAAAGAAGTAACTAGACAAGGCACAAGAAAGGAAATTTAGTCGTTAGAAGCAGACAGATTATCCATATTTCCTTTTTATTTAGTCTCTAGAAAGAAGGTAAAGCCTTTTCAAGACTGAATGAATTCAATCTATCAGGTTTTCTGCTCATGAAGCTCTGAATGGTAATACTGACATATGGCCCAAGACAGGAGTAGTTACGCTTCCCGAGCACATTTCTTCCTGCAAGATCAGTATGCAATAGGTGCTGCATGCCTTAGCAGACTGTGGGTGAACTGCAAGGAAAGTCAAATACAAGTAATATTTTAAGCATGGCCATGTTAAGAAATCCCTCTTGTCTACAGTACTCGGATTTAAACCAGTGGTAAATCAGAAAGCTCCTCATCATGACATTAGCTTAAGTTTAGTCAAAGCATCAGTTACCTGATCAAGTACATCTGAAAACTGTTTAAGTTTGCTAAGTTCTACCAAATTCAGCCAAGTCATATCCAGGATCCATTTGGATGGTTTTGGAGGACAGGCTTTAAGGTCTAATGAAGCACCACCTTTGAAATAAAATACACCATTTTCAGACATTGCTTGCTTTATCATGAAACCAAAAAAAAGTTTTATTCAAAAATTAACTTCAATTATTTCACTACCCTGACATTTATTAAATAAAGAAATATCAATCATAGTGAAGGACATGTTTTCAAAATTAATAAATAAATAGATGGCTTTAAGAAAACCATTTAATAATCAGAAATACAGCTCTGGGACCAAGAAAATGCTGAATTCTGCTCTAGTTTAACTGGTCAAAGTCTGGAACAAGCCATCTCATCTGTCTGGACCTCTATTTTCAAACACGTAAAATGCAAATAATGAAAGCTGGGTGTTGCGATATATGTGTGTGAAGCACAAGCACACTGAAGACATGGCAGAGAGCCTCTAAATGGCAGCAATGGTCAACATTAAGAACTGCTCAGAAGCAGACACTGGGGTGCAACAGGCTAAGCAGACCCATGAGACAGCCACATCTCATAAAGCAGTGGCTGCAAGCAAATCCTGCCACCATTTCCAGTGGTTTCCTGGAAGGCAGCAGATGATGGCACAAGTACTAGTTTCCACCACCCATGTGGGAGACTCTGGCTGTTGCAGGCCTCTGAGGAATGAACCAGCAAATAGAATATCACTCCCTCTTCCTTATGCTCTGCCTCTCTCTGTGTCACTCTGGCCTTCCAAATAAACCTTGTTATAAAAGGAATTGCCCAATGTTGGCCTTGCCTAATTTTAAATACAGAATTTATTTGGAACTATTAGTACCACCACATGTATTTGAAAGGCATCCATCTATAAATCAGTGTATCATTTACATAGATTTTGAGCACACCCAATGGCCCTGTGCTATATCACTTAGGTTTCATCAATCTAACTATAACACTTCCAGTGGGTACTGACTTATGTCTCTTGCTGATAATTTACCTAAACTCACACAACTCTCACAGCATAATAAGATAAATGATATCTAAAATGTTTTTGTTGCCCAATTCAGAGAAATTTAAAGTGTGAACAATCATGTTTTAAGAAAAAAGAAATAGGAAGTGTCCTACAGTATAAAATACCCTACTTAATAAATAACATCCAGCAAAGTATTTCAGGGAAAATATGCTGTAAACATTACCCTTAAAAGGATATAACCAATCTATTTAGCCACCTTTTAAATCCTTTTTTGAAGAGTATGCTATAAACAAATAATAATGTTTGGGATATTTATTGAGCCAATCTCAATCCTGGCACTATGTATACCACTAAGTTTTTATCTTTAGCCAAATCCATCATAGAATATTTACAAGTAAAGTAGGGCCTTAAAGCCATTTCAATGGAAACAGTAGCTCATAAAATGAAAACAGATTGTTTTAACACCAGGGAGCAGTTAAATAAACACCTAAGGACAATTTCATTGTGTTGAATAAATGTTGCACCAATTTCCATGGCAACTGCCCATTTTCCAACAAACTGAAAATAATAAACTGCACACCAGAGGCTTGGGGAATGACTATTAGTGGAAAGGAAAGGGTGTCCCTTATAAACCAAATTATTATTCATTGTTTAAGAGAAGGTAACCATGGCATGAAGATTTTGCTTTCTCAAAAAGTGTGCAATAGGGCAAAAAAAAAAAAAATGACTGTAATGTGGGGAGGAGGACCTATTCCTGGATAACACAGCACCAGGTTAAACAAGAGGGTAATTCTAAATAAACTGTCAGATTGAGAATTATGCTATCCCTTTCATTGCTCAAACTCTTCTGCTTTGAGAAAAAAAGATAAGATTGGGTTTTTCCATAATACTTTGCAAAAAAGATACATGCTTATAATGAAAGATTTGTACAAGCTGTATTACACAATCATGAAGTGTCACAGATAAGCAGACTTAAAATTCATCTAGGCGATCGATTGCCACCTAAGGGATGAGTGAACACCTGTATCAGAATATACTATTACTATTCATCTTAGCCCATTTAGGCTGCTGTAACAGAATACTGTATTCTGGAAAGTATTCTGCTTATAAACAAAAGAATTGCATTTATCACAGTTCTGAAGGCTGGCAAGCCCAATATCAGTGCTCCAGATGGTTCAGTGTCTGGCAAAGGCCCACTTTTTGCTGCACACACAGCCATATTTTCACATCCTCTTGGTGGAAGGGGCAAGAGGCATCTCTCAAGACTCTTTGTAAAGGCCTTTATCCCTCTAACCAGGGCTTCTTTGCTCCCCATGACTCAAGTACTTTCCAAAGGCCCCACCTTCTAATAGTGCCTTGGGAGTTAGAACTTTTAAATTTACGAATTCTGGGGCTGGAGACCTCAACATTAAAACCACAGCACTATCTAAATAACAGTTTATTTTAAATAATTTTAAAGTCTTTATGGAGAAAGATTACATTATCAGGTAACTCTCAACTGAACCAACTATGAAAAGACAGTTTGACAACATAATTGTGTTTCTGAGTTTCCGCTGAAACTCATTTCATAAAGCAGTGCTATAAATAGCCATCGAATTCCAAAAGCCTACAGAAATCTAACTAGTGCAAGCATTAAGCTAATTAAAATCCTGAGGAAATTTAGCAATATCTATCATTTGCTGAGCAAAGTCTCTGTGCCCAGATTTACATAAATTGTGTGAATTCTCAATAATTCTATTACATAGATTTTACTATCCTTGTTTCATAGATGCAGAAACAGAAGCTTAAAATGGCTAAATTGCCTGCTCTAGATCACACATTGGGAAAGTGGCAAAGCCAATATTCTACCTGCCGTCTTCCTTACTGTAAAAGCCATGTTTGTTCTCATCACACCAAACTGTGATATGCTTTACAGACATCAAGCAGACCTGGACACTCTGCTCCACGTTATTCCCGTGGGTAAAAGTACTTCATGCTTGAATTCACAATATCTGGAACAACAACCCATCAGGAAAGATCCCTCAGTGGGAATCAGTCACTGAGGCCAGAAATCAGTAACATCCTAGGGTTCATTGGAGAAAGCAACTCTAACATTTACATGGCGAAGTTTGTGTCTCCCCAGACACTCATCTTCCACATTTAGGAAGGTTGGAATTTTCCCAAGTTAGGAAAGTTGGAAAATAAGGTTCACATATCGGTAAGGAGCAAGCATTCAAGGGTTAGCAACAAAGAATTAGAGGGGGAGGGAAGATATCATCCATATATCAATTCTAAACTAAAATCTGTGGGAAAAAAAAAAATCTCTTGCAACCATAAGGTAGCATTTTGGTTAGGATGGTTGAAATTGGGAAGATGAGAGGTAAATTATTGGCTTTTTTACATTCCTGGTAACTAGATAAAATAACCAGGTTATTTAACCCTTAGCTGCCTTTTCTAAAAAATAAGGATAAGTAAATCTAAAATATATTCATAGGTATATAAATATGAAAATACATCTGGATTTGTGTATAAGTATTGCTATGAACCTACATCCTACCAGGCCACAGTATGTGCATATTCACTATTGCCCCCATAGAGGTCATCTTTCAGTTCTCCAGTATATCTACTTTCTATACAAAGTCTTGAAAAATCCCCTGCTAAATGAAATCGCATCTTATCTTCAAAGGCTTTGTTTAAAAAGGCATAGTAGACAACAGCATTTAGATACTAATATCACTTCAAAATGTTACAGTTTGAATATTTGTGTCCTCCAAAAAACTCGTTTGTTGAAATCTGACCTCTCAACATGATGGTATCAACACCTGGACCAGTGGGACACAATTAAGGTTAGATGGAGCCACCAGGGTGAAATGCTCATGAATAGGTCTAGTACCCGTGTAACTGTCACAAGAGAGCTCGCTTCCTCTGCTCTGCTCTATGCCATGAGAGGATGCAATCAGAAGTCAGCCAACTACAACTTGTAAAGGGAAACTCACCAGAACCCAACCTTGCTGTTCACTGATCTTGGACTTTCAGCCTCCAAAACCTTGTGAAATAAAGTTGCCTTATTCATAAGTCACCTATGCTATAGTAATTTGTTGTAGCAGCCTGGACTGACTAAACACACAATTACTTTAAATATTTTTCCCAGACATCCAAAACTGTGATGGCAAATTTATGATTTATTTCCCCAGTGGTCCAGAGAATCTGTCTGAGCAATGTTTTAAAAGATGCAGAATAAAGAATCAATGGGAGGCCGGCGCCGCGGCTCACTAGGCTAATCCTCCACCTTGCGGCACTGGCACACCGGGTTCTAGTCCCGGTCGGGGCGCCGGATTCTGTCCCGGTTGCCCCTCTTCCAGGCCAGCTGTCTGCTATGGCCCGGGAGTGCAGTGGAGGATGGCCCAAGTCCTTGGGCCCTGCACCCCATGGGAGACCAGGAGAAGTACCTGGCTCCTGCCATCGGATCAGCGCGGTACGCTGGTTGCAGCGCGCCGGCCACGGCGGCCATTGGAGGGTGAACCAATGGCAAAGGAAGACCTTTCTTTCTGTCTCTCTCTCTCTCACTGTCCACTCCTGCCTGTCAAAAAAATAAAAAAAATTAAAAATAAAAAAAAAATAAAGAATCAATGGGATGAACTGCAGAGGTCTCACCCAGTGCACTCCATCCATCCCTCAATGACTTTTTCTCCATGTATGCCATCTCTTCTGCCTCCAACACTCTTGCTCTAGATTTCCCCATGGCCACAGACCCTTGCTTCTTCAGGTTTTTGCTCCTCTGCCTATCTCCAAGGAAGAGATCCCTTTTAACATCCCATTTAAAATCTTTAAGCCTCTGCCATTCCACCTGCCCTGTAACCCCCATCTCCCTTATCCTGCTCTCTTTTGTGCATATAGCTTACTATATACACTACACACACACACACACACACACACACATATATGTCATAATGGCTTTGTTCACTGAGCTGTCCCAAATGCCTATTCCATGGCCCAGGTACACAGGAGGTCCTCAATTAATATTCAATCAATAAATTAAAAAATGAGATATTTCACATAAGTGCAATTTTAATTGTGAGGAAATAATTTAAAAGGAGCAAACAAAAATAGTGTAAAGGGCCTTCATGATAATTCTGACATCTGCACCTGTAAACAATACTTTTCATTGTTATATGACCTTTAATAAGAGTGAGAAACTCCTCATGCTTCACTAGGTTTCTCTGGATGTCAATCTTCAGGGTAAGCAGCAGGGTAAACAGGAATTTGTGCTCCTCATACAGCCCTCGGGCAGCATACTTATAAACCTCATAGGTCATGTGCTCAATGATATTAGCAATCCGCTTGCTAGTAATTGGACTCTTGACAGATCTAGGAAGAGAACATTTAAATCACGCTTATCCCACTATCCTTTTCAATAGTCTATAACAAACAACATCTTCAATGGAGAATAAGTAACTTTGGAAGACTAATCCTTATTTTTATACATCAAGTGTAAGCCTCCTAAATCTAAAATAACAAGCATTCTCTCAACGTGAAATAAGCTAACAGAATCTTCAATTTTGTCTGAATCAATTGTACCTGCAAGGCATTATTACTCACAACATCTTGGATATTTTATAGTTTAACAGAAACACATGGAACCAAAGGAATCAAATCAATGGATAAATAGTTGGTAGTGCATTCTCTGAGCATAAAAACACAAATGAGAATGATTTGTTAACACATTAGAAATTACACTAATCTTTGATTTAAAAACAAAAAAGGAAGTTATGGATGTAATGCCCATTCATGCACATAGATGCAGTATTTAGCATAGTTTCCTGCATACAGACATACCTGGCTAAGGAAAGGTCAAACAAGCCAAGAAACTGACGGAGCGAAGTCTGATACATCTCATTAACCAAGCGCATCTCAGTGACGAGGAAGTAGAGGATGCTGCCCCGTGTGGCAACTAAAACACAAACAGCAAGGTTGCATGTGCCTTGAGAGTGCAAAATAAATGACCCATGCAAACAGGTCAGCCTAGACTCTAAATGAAAACAACAACTTAGGTTTTTATCTCGTATCAGTGGATGTCTACCAGCAATAAGATCTAGAGTAATACTCCTTCATTAATATATTTTATTCTTATTTATCAGCTTTTCTTTCCTTATCAAATGGTATTTCCTACTTCAGAATCACCAGACCTTTGTTAAATATACTTAACTATATTTTACAAAAAATAGAAAGCCACAAGAATTTAAAAGTTCTTATGCTCATACACAGTGATATAGCCATTTAGTACTTCATTCTGGAAATCCATGCCTAAGCTTGGCCTCAAGTTTCTAAGACAAGCCTTTACAAAATGAATGTTCCTTACTGATCACCATAGATGGCATTGTTTCCATTCTTTCTCCAGGAGAAATAAAGAAACTAAGGATAGCCAGTTGAACTCTTGAGCAACACTGATTTGCAGGGTGGTGGTAGAGCATGAAGACCAAAGAACCACCTCCCTTGTAAACAATATACTAGCAATTGTTATCAAATGACAAACAGTGAGCAGTCCACAGATGCCACACTAATTCTTCAGATTTCACTAATTTGTACCAGGTATATATTTGTTTAATTTCTTCTTCTTTACTTTCTAACTTAAAAATAAGTTCATGAGAACCTTAAGGGATTTGCCAATTAATGTAAATTAAAAGCATGTAGGGGCTGGTGCTGTGGCACAGTGGGTTAAAGTCGTGGCCTGCAGTGCCGAAATCCCACATGGGCACTGGTTCGAGTCCCAGCTGCTCCACTTCTGATCCAGTTCTCTGTTATGGCCTGGGAAAGCAGTAGAAGATGGCCCAAGTCCTTGGGCCTCTGCACCCAAGACCCGAAAGAAGCTCCTGACTCCTGGTTTCAAATCAGCTCAGCTCTGGCCGTTGAAGTAATCTGGAGAGTGAACCATTAGATGGAAGATCTGTCTCTGGTTCTACCTCTCTCCGTAACTCTGTCTTTCAAATAAATAAAATAAGTCTTTAAAGAGAAAAAAGAAAAAAAATCTCTAAAATATGTATACCAGTATAAAAATTTTTATCTCAAATTTACTGAAAAGTTTCCAGAAGAAATACCACAAAACATAAATGGCCACCCCACTTTCGAGTCATTTGCATAACCTGCTTACATCATTCAACTTCTCTAATTCTCATCTCTTCCTCACTCCACCCTCCTATGATATTTGTCTTCCATTATCAAACTCACCAGGTCTATATTCCTCCCGGGCTGAGTTAATTTGAATTTCGGTCTCTGCAGAAATTTCCAACTTCTGTGTCACCTCCTCAGCTGTCTTTTTTGTGTTACTCAGCACAACAATGAGACTCTCATCTTCCACCAAGGATCCCTGAGTACTTGTCAGACGGTAAAGCAAATTATCTTCCAGTTCCTTCATTCTTCTCTTGTTTGCAGTTACATCCTCCATAAGATGAGTTCTTTCTTTCTCCAATTCCTGTTAATTTACATAATGATATTTTCTTCTTATATAACAACTATTACTGGAGCATTCCTTAAAAAGTTAAGCAACCTGGCTACTCCCAAGTACCTGTACTGTATTTATCATACCTGAGGGCAGGAGATATGGATATCAAAAAAGGAGAAAGGAAATTAACAGAAGAGAGAATAGGGAGAAAACAACATAAAATTTGAAAAAAAAAATCATTATCCCTTTTTATTATCATCTACTTATTTTCTGTGGGGAGCAATCCGGACTAGACTGAGTTACTGGAATTAAGACTTATTCTATGCATCTGCTCTCCCACAATATGGCGCTGGGAGAGAAGTAAACAGCTTCTGCACAGCTGCCTCCAGTTCAACCAATAAACTGTAGGACTTGCTCCTGATTGGAGAGCAGCGTACTCGGCGTGTGGGCAGCCGAGTTGGGATTGGCAGAGGAGGACTATAAAGGAGGAGAGAGACGGCACGCACCAGGAACATCTATGGGGAACATCTAAGGGGAACATCTAGCTGAAGGAACACCTGTGCAGCCCCCAAGAAAGCCGGCCGGCGGTGTGCCGCTCCCCTGCGGAAGTGGGGAATGTGGCCAGGGGGAACTGCCCTTCCACGGAGGTGGAAGGGATAGTAGCCAACCCGGGAAGAACCAGCAGCAAACCCGGGGAAGGCCGAGCAGACGAAAGAACAGCGCAGGGTCCTGTGTCGTTCCTCCACGAAGAGGGGGAGCGACAAAATGGTGCCGTGACTCGGATAGGAAACCTAGCTCGGATAGGAAACCCAGGACGGATAGGAAACCTAGGATGGATATGAAACTTAGGAGGGAAGAAATGACTCGGATTAGGAAACCTAGGTCGGATAGCAAACTTAAGAGGGAAGAAACGGGAAGAACTGGGAAAATACCGGAGAGAGAGATTAGCAAATAGCCTAGGGAAAAGCCGGACGAAAGAGGTGCCGGAAGAAGCTGTTGAAAGCCTAGGCATAGACTCAGATACGGACTACGGGGGGAGGCTGGGAGAAATCTCTAAGGTCGAAAGCGAAAGTGAAAGCTAGAACAAACAGACTCGGATGCGGACTGTGGGGAGAGGCCAGGAGAAATGAGGGAGGAATATTGTTGGAGGAAAGCTGGGGGAAACATACCGGGTAGAGAAAAATGTTAGGGAAATTGAAGCCGTGGGGGGCAGGCCAAGGCGGACACGAAAGCCACTTTGGGGTTCTCAAGTTAGCCCGGGAATAGGGGGCGAAAAGTTGAAACCAGAAGCTGAAACGTAAGCCAGATTGGGATCCGTCTGATTAGCCCGGGGAGCAAAGGACGGGAAGCCAAACCGTGGGGCGGAGACGTATGCTGGGTTGAATTCGCCAGGCTAGCCCGGGGAACTTAGATTGAATGCTAGTGGCGGACACGTAAGCTACGCTGTGTTACTCGCGGAAGCCGCCGCGTGCAGAGAGAGCACGGGGCGTGAATAGATAGGGAACGCGGGGCTGGCGCGAGGCCGTGGTCCAGACGTGAAGGGGCGTGGAGACCGCGGAGTGTGCGCGCGAAGCCGAGCCGCGCAGAGCCGGGAGCCCACCGGCGGGGCGAGGCGCCGGGAAGCCGCGCAGAGCCGTGAAGCTGCCGCGGGGCGAGGTGCCGAGAAGTAGCCTCGGGGCGAGCGCCGCCAGGAAGCCGCGGGGATAAGAGAAACAGAAGTTTAGAAGCAAAATGAGAGAAATAGGAATGCTGGAAGATAGAAGTAAAATGGGAGAAATAGGAATGCCCGGAGATAGAGAAATAGAGAAATAGAAAGGCCTCCCTACAACACTGCAATGTGAAAGCTTGGATTCGGTCTGCCTGATTAAGGCGATAAGCACCAGCAAGCAGCTCGACCAGAGTATGAGCTGCAGGTCACCGAAGATAGGCACGAACCAACACTAATAAGTCTCCCCCACAATACGGCAATGAGAAAGCTTGGATTCGGTCTGCCTGATTAAGGCGGTAAGCGCCAGCAGGCGGCTCGACCAGAGTGTGAGCCGCAGGTCACCGAACACAGGCACGCATCAGCGCCTAAAAACCGCCTCACAACATGGCGAAGAGAGGACCCGGATTCGGTTTGCCTGATTGATAGGACTTTTAAGAACCTGTGGCAACTCTAGCAAGCAGAGCAGAGTGTGTGCCACGGGGCACCGAAGACAGGCGCGTATCAACGCCAAAAATAAAAAGAAAGGGGGATCTGTGGGGAGCAATCCGGACTAGACTGAGTTACTGGAATTAAGACTTATTCTATGCATCTGCTCTCCCACAATATGGCGCTGGGAGAGAAGTAAACAGCTTCTGCACAGCTGCCTCCAGTTCAACCAATAAACTGTAGGACTTGCTCCTGATTGGAGAGCAGCGTACTCGGCGTGTGGGCAGCCGAGTTGGGATTGGCAGAGGAGGACTATAAAGGAGGAGAGAGACGGCACGCACCAGGAACATCTATGGGGAACATCTAAGGGGAACATCTAGCTGAAGGAACACCTGTGCAGCCCCCGAGAAAGCCGGCCGGCGGTGTGCCGCTCCCCTGCGGAAGTGGGGAATGTGGCCAGGGGGAACTGCCCTTCCACGGAGGTGGAAGGGATAGTAGCCAACCCGGGAAGAACCAGCAGCAAACCCGGGGAGGGCCGAGCAGACGAAAGAACAGCGCAGGGTCCTGTGTTGCTCCTCCACGAAGAGGGGGAGCGACATTTTCTAAAGTTAAATTGTTTTCAAGTGCCTTTTGTGATTGTATATAGTACATAATCTTTGAAGGTAAAATATATTTGAAGACAAATACACAGATCTCTGGTCAAATAAGTTTACTCTGTTTCACTTCTTGTTTAAAAGCGTTCCACGATAGGGCTGGCCTTTGGCACAGCAGTTAAGATGCTTCTCAGGATGCCCAAATTCATATTGGAGTGCCAGGATTCAAGACCTGGGCCTGCTCCTGATTCCAGCTTCCTGCTAAGGTGCACCCTGGGAGGCAGCAGGCAATAGCTCAAGCGGTTATGTCCCCAGCCACCAAGGTGGCATTCTCCTGGTTCTGGCCCAGCACAAGCTCCTGTGGGCATTTGAGGCATAACTAGCATAGGAGACCTCTGTTTGCCCGTGTGTGTGTGTGTGTGTGTGTGTGGTCGGAGATAGAGGTGTCATTCAAAACAAATAAAAAAAATCAATAAACAGTGTTCTGCTATTGTGTGGATGTGGTTATTTCAAACTTGGTAGTTCAAACAGTATCTAATAATAAATTGAAATGCAAATTTCCAAAAACTTAGGCAAGCAATCTAAACTGATGTTGCAGATACATTTAGATTGAAAAGTCTTCTAAGGCCTGAAAAGATATTATTCTCTCAAAAAAAAAAAAAAAGTGAATTTGCACATCTTCTATGAAGGCCCTTTAAAGATAGCAGGGAGAACAAGGCCTTGAAGTATCATGGTCCTTGCTGATTGTTTCTTCCTCTTGGTAGCCTGGTGAGGGAAAGATGGAGGAAGGGAAAGAAAGAAAAGATAGGGCCAGAGAGGGTGGGAGAATGGAGAAGTATACATGACGCTGGACAAGACCAAGAAAGCATGAAGCTCAGAGGCTGCAGACAACCAAGAAAACATGATTCCGGCACCAAGTTAAGTTCCATAAGGAGAATGCAATTGTTACATGAGAGACTCTAACATTGAAGCTAAAGAAAAGCATCAAAAATGGAAATGACAATGAGTAAATAGTATTTAAAAATTTAAAAAGAAAGATATGCATTAGAGAAATAATTGAAAAAGCATTCCAGATACAGTATCCATTGACAATTTACCCAAATTTAACTGCATTAGTGTTTATAATTCCATATAAATACAATACAGGGAAATTAGGGTTCAATGCAGGTGACCTGAATAATAAAATCACAAGGAAGCATTGCTGGCAGTTCTGATTGTGACTCAGAACTGATGGCACCCTGCTCAAATTCTTAGGTCAGCCTCAGAAAGGTAATTACTCAACTGGGTATTCTGGACATGGATCAGTAGGTTTTGCAGGTTCTACTCCATACTGAGAGGACCAGAAAGCTAGAGCTGCACAGTGATGAATCTTAGGGAGCCACACATACATGCTAATGGGACTACCCATTAATGACATGACCTCCCTTTGTTATGATCCAGTTCTCACACAAAGACCAAGGGAAAGGAGAAGCCAGTCCTTTCATTTCAGTGATTTGATAGTAATTCCTTTTTAGTACTTTTTTTATGCATTTAGGAAAAATATTCTTATAACTCTACAAATTTCATCTTTGTTTTAAAAACTATTGACATAACTCCAAATTTAATATTTCAAAGTTCCATAAGCTCCACATCATATATCCTTTAAATGCCTCCACTTGAGTATCTAAGATACATCTTCTACTTGGCACCATTAGCAGAAGTTCTGATCCGCAGCCTTCCCCAGCCCAATAAATGGCAGCCTCATTCTTCCAGCTGTTCAGACAAAACCTTTCAGCCCTCCTTGATAACTTTCTTCTCTGAAACTCCACAGAAAATTCATCAGAAAACCCCACCAACTCCAAGTATAAATTCTACACTCATCATTTCTCACCCCCTCCCCCAGCGGCACCAACCTGACATGATCTATCATTATTGACTCCTCTAAACTATAGGTTCCAAGCAGGCCTCCATCCTTCCCCACTCACAGGCAGAATAGAGCTACTAAAATACAAATCCTCTCCGCAAACCCTCCAAAAGCAATCATCTCACCCAGAATAAAACCTAGATTTTTTCTAAGACCTATGAGGCTCCACCAACTTCCCCCTCTTCCATTATCACCATCTTTTTTTCCACCTGTTTTTAGTTACAGCGGGAAGCTTCCATAGAGGTTATTTTAATTCATTTATTCGCTACATGGGAACTCAAATTTCAGAAAATATACAAATTAGTACCAACAAATGACATTTAATGGTTGCTATAAAATTCATTTCCATAAAGTTAAAATAAAGGCTCTTACACTATGACTACACTAGGAAATAAAAAAATAACAAACTGAAAAAAATCAAATAATTTTTACGGCTATATTCATAGATTTAACACACTTTCATAATCATTTTTGAGTTCCTAAAGGTGAACATTATAAAATTCCTCACCTGAAGATAGGTAAAGAAAAGAATGTAAGATAGTGGGAGAAGATCAAGAAGATACAACATTTGAATCACAGATCCCGGGACCTATTTGTTACATGACTTTGGTCTTGTTCTACAATTTTATCAGCCTCAGTTTTTTCATCTGAAAAGCGGAAAGACAGCTCATACAGTAACTGTGAGAATATCACCAGCAGTGCAGTAAAGATGGTGTCTATTCAAACAGATGTCTCTTCCCTTCCATCTCTATGCTAAAACTGGGGCATTAGACAACCAAATCCAGGAAATTAAGGAATCTGTGGTGCTTCCTCTCATTCATCCTGAATACGCTGAAGAGATAGGAATAATGTTCCCTAAGGTAGTAATTCTCTACTGTCCACCTGGCATAGGTAAAAACCCTGTTAGACAAAGCAGTACCAAACCTCAGTCACTTTGTTGAGAGTGGTTGGCTCTGAACTTACTTGGTAGTACCTAGGTAATGATCCCAGGCCCATAATGGAACTGATGCGAGTTGCTGAAGAATATGCCCAATCCTTTGGTGTTTAGTGCTGAAACTGATGCCACAGGGAAAAAATAATATGACCCAGGGCTGGCGCCGTGGTTCACTTGGTTAATCCTCCGCCTGCAGTGTCAGCATCCCATATGGGTGCTGGATTCTAGTCCCGGTTGCTCCTCTTCCAGTCCAGCTCTCTGCTGTGGCCCAGGAGGGCAGTGAAGGATGGCCCAAGTGCTTGGGCCCCTGCACCTGCATGGGAGACCAGGAAAGAGCACCTGGCTCCTGGCTTCAGATCGGCACAGTGCCAGCCGTGGCGGCCATTTGGGGAGTGAACCAATGGAAGGAAGAACTTTCTCTCTCTCTCTCTCTCTGTCTATAACTCTACCTGTCAAATAAATAAAAATAAATAAATAAATAATATGACCCAAATTCTGGTGGTGAATGGCAAATTCAATAAATAATGTTGGAACTATTGCACCATTTGGATAGGTTTGATGAAAGAGGAGACATGCAAGTTAAGACAAGCCACATAGAAACTTTGTACCCAGTGCTTGCCAGAACAGGTCACATTAACAGGAAGATCATGCTCCCACCCGTGCCTCCAGACTTAGAAGCACATTTTTCAGATTCACTTGAGCAGGATGGTGCTGGCCAGTGATGTAACCCCTAGATGGCTTGATTACCACTAAAGATGAGCTCTCTGGAGCTGACATCAATGCAATCTATACAGAAGTTGGTCTCATACCTTGAGAGAATGTAGAATGAAAGCAATAAATGAAGCCTTCAATACAAAGAAAATGTTCTATATAAAAAACAAGAAAGCACCCATGAGAGACTCTGTCTCTAGTAAACCACAGGTGCCTTCAGCAAAATGGGAGTTTTCCTGACCCCTGAGACAGGTGAGTGTGGGGAAGTTGCCCAAAAAAATTCACTACCATCCAGGTGGAGAGGATTCAGCAATATCAACAGATCCAGAAATGGGGGAAGAGCAGATGCTGCCAAAGAGAAAGTCTCTTACAGAAAGTATACTACATAAACCCCAACAGAAGTGGCTTAGAGTCGCTCACTTCTTATATCATGAAACTTTACTGGGGAGAGAAATATATATATAGTTTAGCTCTTATATTACAATGTGGAACAGGGTAAGATGACCTTCTCTTATTATGAAAGAATGAGTGTCGTGCTACTCTGGCCACATTTTTGTAAGGCTTCTTTACTGTGAAGCTGTAAAAGATTCTGATGAGATGATAGGAAAGGAGCAATTTTCTCAAGACACTCAATTTTCTCAAGAAGAAAACTCCTGGCACTTGATCCACATTGGCTGTACAAGGCTATTCAAAATTGTTCAAAAGACTAGAACATGTTCCTACTTAAAACAGTTGCAACAATTAAATGCTCAGTGTTGTTGTTATTGGGTTTTGTTTTGTCACCACTAAAATCTGTAAGGCCTAATTATTTGTTCCAAGGGAACTGTATTCATCTCAGCTTAAAACAAACAGACTTTAAACCATTCATGGAAAATAGAATTAAAAGATTATTCTACTTAAAAAATTTTGAAATTCATGTACATAAAAGGTGCTTGACAATTTCATGGAAATGTATAATATTAAAAAAACTATGCATAAATCTCAAAAAATTTTTGTAACAAAATTAACTTATTTAATTCTATTTTCCCACAAACTTTCTGAAGTACCCTAAAAACCTAAGACAAGGATAATATTCAGACTGCCCTCAGGGACCCTTATCTCCCTGAAGCCAAAGCTATAGATAGAAGCAGAGTTAGGGTATCTCAGGAATTTCACCTGCTCAACCTCCCATGCTGCTGATCAAGAATCTCAGCCCTTTCTGGAGTAATTAAATGCTAATGCTAACTTTCCTCAGCCACCTCTATTGAGATTTAACTCAGGACTCAAAAAATAAATCAACCTATAAGTACCTATTTTGAAGGCTCTTATTACCTCCATAGCTTGTCTGTGGCAGGAACTATGTAACACTGGCATGTGCCATGCTGAGGTCAACCAACCAAGTGAATGCATAAAGCTGAATTAAATGCCCTTAATGCAGCTTCAAACCCCATGATTCACATGCTACAAATTAAAAATAAAGAGAAAAATTCAGAAGAAAAAACAAAGGGAAGGAGAAAGAGGTAAACGCAGGATAGGGCTCAGAAGTATGATGCAATCAACAGAAAAGGTAAAGATAACTGGAGGATAAATTCAAAAAATGTTGCCAGTGGTCTTAATCTAAACAAATCTTCAGGTCTGTGTAGACACAGCCATTAAGTAAACTAACTTTCTCATTGCTATCTAACCCAGGAGAAAATCAATAGCAACGCTAAGAGTTCAAACAGTTTCACCATAATAGTCCCATTAAAATCCTCTACATTGCTCTACTTAAGCCTCACATGTTCCCTAGGGAAAATGCTGACTCAGAGAAAGGAAGTTTATAATCTGAGCATTTTTCACGAGCATTAAGTTATCTCACCAAACAGAAGGAAGCAGCCATATAGTTATGCTTCCAGAACATAATTAAGTCAGGAGCTTTCAGAAGGTGCACCAGCAAGCTCCAGTGGCACAAACTCCTACCTCCTCACATCAGATGCCATCACAACACACACAGAGCTCTACTGGGTAACAAGCAAACATTGACAACATTGTTATCTGTGTTTAACATTTTAATTTTGTATCCTAAAAGCATAATAATGAATCAAATGAAAGGAAAATTTGGATATGTGTTAGAGCACTGAAAGCCAAAAAGTGAACAGAATGCACAATAGCATTTCCGGAAAAATAAAGCCATTTATAAAGCCAGGATAATGATGCTAAAAATGAGATTGACATCGACATAGTTATACCACTACTCTGCATAAAAGAAATCAATTGGTATATGTAATTTATTTATAATATATAATATTTATTTATAATATAATAAATATAACCATATTTATAACATATGGTTAGATAATTAATAATTTTAAGACCCTTAAGAATTCATAGAAAACAGGACTTAAAAAAAGAAAAGAAATTCAGTCCCATTGCCGCTATTATCATACCTAAGCTTCATCAATGCAACACAGAAAAGGAGAACACCCTTCACCCACCTGCTTCTCTGTAAGGATAACTCTCCCAAGTAGCTGGTCTTCTAGACCTTTCATGGTGACAGTGAAATCAATGATGGAGGTGCGAGCACTTATTTCAGGGGTGTAGGCTGGATTGGGCAGCTTGGTGGTAATATAGAGTCTGAAACCATCCATAACATCTACTTCTTTGTCACCAACTTTCACCTTCAAAAAAGGAAAAAGAGAAAGTTCAAACTAACAAAATATAGACACACCTTACTGTCTTTTAAACATAAAATTAATTACTGTTTAAATAATTATGTAGCCAAAGATCGTTTGTATACTAAACAAAGAAATGGTCATTAGATATTCGTGGGCTTTTAAACCACTGGGATGGATGGATATATGGATGGATGGAAGGGAGGGAGGAAGGGAGGGAGGGAGGAAGGGAGGAGAAAGGGAGGGAGGGAGGGAAAGAAGGAGGACTCGAAGGAGAGAGGGAGAAGGGAAGGAATGAGGGAGGGAAGGAGGAAGAGAGGAAAGCAAAATGGAAGAGGGGAAGGAGGGAAGGAAGGAAAGAAGGAAGTTCAATATATATGTTGCAATAAATATAGAATTTGGCACCAAAAATTATTGTGATCATACTGAAGAAAAGAGATGGGTCCTTCACTCAAAATGTGTTGAAGTTCAAAACTAATAATACCACATGTGGCCAGAAGACTATGAAAAGACTTATCATTCACATAATGAGATTTTCTGGGGAGAACAGAGAAGGTTCCCAAGCAGGTGCCCAAAATGGCTTTAGTCAAAAAGGGGCATCTAGTGTATGGTTTTCTGGTAGTTATAGGAAAAGCTGAGAGGAGGGTTCCCACATCCAGGCATGGACAAGGGTTTGAATAATTAGAATTTGTAACCAGGGCCAACGAAAGGAGCAGATGTGATATAGGAGAGAGGAATAGAGGGGTTTATAGGCTGATGATAGTCAAATATGAAAATGGAGTTGGTTTCTTTCTATAAGAATGAAACAGATAATTCAAAAAGGATTGTTTTTAAGTACTTTAACCTCCACTCCAGAAGTATAAAAGAGAAAACAAATATCTCTCAACGCTGACTCCAATTTAACTCGTTGCCTATTGAGAGAATTCCATCTGTTTCACACATACCTGGCCTCATGGCGATTATTCTGCACATTGTTATCACCAGGCTTAACCTACCTTAAAGGTAGACCCAGTTTTAATGAAGTTTCTCTCCAAAACATTATCCAGGGCTGGATCTAGTTCCTCCCCAACATCTTCAATAAGCAAGGGCCTTCCAAGGGAAAGGCTGTCCTCCAGGTGGTTTCTGAAGTATTTGTGGTTTAGCGAAGTGACCTAGAAAGAGGAACACAAGAGGACTCTTGTCAGACGGTCACCACGCTGATCCGATGGCAGGAGCCAGGTACTTCTCCTGGTCTCCCATGGGGTACAGGGCCCAAGTACTTGGGCCATCCTCCACTGCCCTCCTGGGCCACAGCAGAGAGCTTGCCTGGAAGAGGGGCAATCGGGACAGAATCCGGCACCCCGACCGGGATTAGAACCCGGTGAGCCGGCGCCGCAAGGCGGAGGATTAGCCTAATGAGCCACGGCGCCGGCCTTCAATTATCTTTATATACAGAAGATCTACTTAGTATATACTAAGTAAAGATTTCAACAGTTTGTCCACACAGACACACAAAGTATAGAGTACTGTTTGGGTAGTAGTTTTACTGTTAATTTGCATACTACAACACATTAAGGACAGAGATCCTACATGGGGAGTAAGTGCACAGTGACTCCTGTTGTTGATTTAACAATTGACACTCTTATTTATGACATCAGTAATCACCCGAGGCTCTTGTCATGAGCTACCAAGGCTATGGAAGCCTCTTGAGTTCACGAATTCTGATCTTATTTAGACAAGGCCATTGTGAAAGTGGGAGAACATTTTAATATTAAGATTTAAACTTATATCCACTACTGCTCTACCTGGGATTACCAAATATTGCTAAGATGTTAAAATATTTTATTTATCTTGTATTTTTGTTTATCTGGGCAATAAAACTTAGCTGATAACAGAATATATACATATACAAAGTACCTGGAGTTCATTTTGACTTTCTTTGTTTTTAATCCAGATCTTTCCTTGAGTCTGTGGATCAATTAGCAGAGGATAGCGTGATGCCTTTGTGACAATGATTCCATTCTGAATGGACAAGTCATCATTTGGCAGACCTTGGAGGTTCCATTCACCAATAGTAGGAGCATCAATTAACATCTCATTGAGATTTAGATCATTTCCAAATGGAATTTTCCGAACTTTCATTTCCTTTTTCCAATCATTTAACAGCAAATCTCGAAACTCTTGGTTAAATGGACCAGAATAAGAGAGAAAAGCCGTAGCCAACAATACATCTCCTAAAACAGAAAGTAAACATCACTAAAATATTTATGATTATCCTTGTAATCGTGCATATAATAATTTTTATAAATAGAAGACAACCACTGTTTTAAATCAAATTCTACAAATCAAACTGTGACCAGACCATACATTGTTGTGTGCTAGAAAACAGACAGTAATTTGGTTCATTGTTAAACAGGGAAACAGGGTCCAAAGGGTCTACCAAGTCATAGCTGCTAGCAGTCAAGCATTGGGTTAACTGGACTTGTTTTGGAAGGGAAAGGATTAAGTTTAAGGAACACAAAACCTCAGAAGAAAGAGCTTTCATTCAAAGTGCCTTGGATCAATATCCTCATGTGTTTATAAGAGAATGCATAAGCAACCTGATGATAAGATGTATAAAGATCTTAACAAATCTAATCAGGATAGAATCAATACCAGGCCAATATCCATCCCTCTGAAATGGCTGGGGACACACACACACACACACACACAAACACAAGTTTGAAATAATCAAGGGACGTATTTTATTCTGATTAAAGCTTCAACTTGCTAACTGATGCAGCAAGCACATAATTTCATTAATAAAAGAACATACATACCTACAAGTCTCTTAGTTTGTGCAGCAAACTCTTTACTTTGCTCTGTCCATCTCTCTTTTTCTCCAGCCAGGCCACTGATCAGTGTGGAAGCTGTCTGCATCTTATGCCTACACCGTTCTGCATCTTCAAGCAAGGTCTAAGAAGGCCCATAATCAAAAGAAATTCTTATTGATATAAATATGTCCCCTGGATCAAAAGTATAACTTTAAGATATTATATATTGGCCCTTCAGATACATATGAGCCATTTTTTCTAAAGAAGGTATAAGATTTCATGTCCATGTGTCTGTCAGCTCAATCCTGTGTCTTATGTCTCCTCCATGGAACTGGAAGTGACACTTCCAGTGATGTTTTGAGCCAATAGTAAGACTCTACTCAGATGTTAAAAACTGAGATAATAGAAATGTCTGCATTATGATTTCCCTGTGAAAACAACAAGTATTCATGCTAAGATCATATAGCAATAAAAAATGAAAGAAATACATATCCCTAGTTAAAAAAAACTGGAAGGTGTCTCATGTTCAAATTCTGGTATCACTGCTGCTTACCTAACTGCATGCCTCATTTTACCTTAGAGGAAACTTTAGATTATCTTCAGATTTGATGCCCTGAGGCTCCTGAACATATTTCAGCTACTCTTGATTCATAGACCCCTTCCTGTTATTCCTGGCATCAATAAAAGTAAGTTAACCCACACTTCAACATACTGTTGTTGCTCTCTCCTTGATTTTTAGAAATGAATGATTCCATTCCTCTATATTTAAAAGACAAATGCTAATTCTATTTGTAAAGATTTGTACTTATCAAATAAAGTCGGTATTGCCAAAGACTAAGCTACATGACCAATCACTAGACACTCATTTATAATAACAAGAAATTTAGATATAGATCTATAGATAGATGCTGGCCTTAAAATTTTAAGAGAAATTTTTAATTTTTCATTTATTTATTTTATTTATTTGAGAGGTGGACAGAGAAACCACCTGGAGGACAGCCTTTCCCTTGGAAGGCCCTTGCTTATTGAAGATGTTGGGGAAGAACCAGATCCAGCCCTGGATAATGTTTTGGAGAGAAACTTCATTAAAACTGGGTTTACCTTTAAGGTAGGTTAAGCCTGGTGATAACTTACATAATCAGGTGCCTTAAATCTCTCAAAGCATTTTAGCTGAACACTAACATATAAGGCTTGCTGGTTTCAACCTCACCTCCCTCCCCTTAAGACACTCCACAACTCCAGCAACTCTAGCACACACAGTCTCCTATGCAAGTGCTGTCTCTGAATCTTTTTAAAATTTTTTTAAAGTTTCATTTTTTAAAAATTTATTTGAAAGGCAGAGCTACAGAGAAAAGAGAAGAGACAAAGAGATCTTCCATCTGCTTGTGCACTACCCAAATGGCCACAAAGACTGGGGCTGAAAGCCAGGAGCTTCTTCCAGGTCTCCCAGGTGAGTAAAGGGGCCCAAGCACTTGGGCCATCCTCTGCTGCTTTCCCAGGTGCATTATCAGGGAGCTGGATCAGAAGTGGAACAGTCAGGACTCGAACCTGTGCCCCTATGGGATGCAGACATTGCAGGCGAAGGCTTAACTTGCTATGCCACAATGTCAGCACCAGAACCTGAATCTTAAGCTACATTAGCTCTATGTTAAATCTGTTTTGATAAACAGGAGTGTAATTCCCAACTAATATATCAATTCCCAATAGAGATAGAATTAGTATTAAATAAAAAAAAGAGCTAGAAGCTAGAAAATACATGAACCTGAAAAAGGTGCTAAGGCTACAAGATATGCATCAGTTGAGAAGGCTATAGATGTCCCTGTCACTGGTCAGTTACACAGTAGCCTGAAGCAAACATAAGAAAACCAAGGTCTAGTATGGAGTGTACCACTGACCAGCTCTAGGACCATGAACCATTCTCTTCTCTCTGGGTCTCAGTTCCATTCTCTAAAATGAAAGTAAAAATACCCACCCTGCCTACTTTGAGTGTTTTTGAAGATTAAATGAGAAAACATGGTGGCAGGCGTTGCAGCATAGCAGTTAAGCTGCCACTGGTGCATCCACATAGAAAATAGGAGTGCTGGCTCATGTGCAGGCTACTCTGCTTGCAATCCGGCATCCTGCAAATGCGTCCTGGGAAGCAGCAGATGACAGTGCGAGTGTGTGGATCCCTACCAGCCATGTGGGTGACCCAGATGGAGTTCTGGGCAAGTGGCTGTGGCCCAGCCCTCCCTGGCTATTGTAGGCACTGGGGAAGTGTGCCAATACGTGGACATACTCTCTCACTCTTGCTCTGCCTTTAAAGTAAATGAAAAATAAAAATAAACACTTATACAAGGGGACAAAGTAGGAGGACACAATATGAAAAACACACACAAAAGAATGCTACCCAAGGTGCTATTACCATCAATATTATCATGAATGAAGAAAGTAGCAATTAGGTTCCAGAACTGACTGTGGTCCTGGCTGACTGTTCTGACATCCTGCCAAAAGCCCTTGGTGTCTGTTAGAAACAAACTCCAGGGTTCCGTGACAGATTATATGCTGTCTATATGCTATAAATAAATTCAGTGAATCTCCAGCAAAAATCTAACCCTTGGAGAGAGAAAGTACAAAAGGAATGAGGAGTTAGAAAAGCCAGGTGAGTGTATGACAGCCCCTCCGCTGACAAAGGAGTTACCTGCTTCTCGGTCATGGCCTGTTCATACTCTGCCTGTACCACGTCGAGCTCTGCTTGCTTGTCATCCAGCTCAGCCTGTGCCTTCTGCAAATCCAGCATGGCTAGGACGTGGCGATTTTCCTGCACCACCAAGTTGGCCTGCACAGGACACACACAGAGTGAACTGGCAGGTAGCAAACTTCCAAACGCTCCACATTTCAGTCTGAGAACTCAGTAATGTCACATGTTTGAAATTTTTCTTTGTTCTACCCCTGAAGCATTTCAAATTGCAGTAAGTCAAGACCAAATCTTCATGCAAGGTAGCCATAAAGGTCCACAAGCAGAAAACTGTAGTTCAGCAAATCTTTTCTGTAAAATGCTATGTAGTAAATATTTTAGGATATTTAGGCCAAGAGACAAAATCTAACCATTGTTTAGGTACTTATTTAAAAAACCATTTACAATAGAAAAACTAGTCTTATTTGGTGAGCCATACAATCAAATTTCATGAGTGGATTTGTTCCAAGTGATGAGATGCCTATCCTCAGATCATAAAATTATAATATTAAATGTGCATAGACAAATTGTAGAAATTTTAATGTTAAGAGTTGTAGAAAGAGAAAAATCTGGATTCAGTAACTGACTCATGATCATTCAATTTACTTATGTATTACTAAACAATGGTGCAAAAGTGGTACACAATCAGCAGAAACTGCTGCAACTTTTGATCTTTTCTCAGCCTAGCAATGTGCAGTATAGTCCTCTCTGGCACTGCTGGGCAAGGATGGCAGGGGTGTTGCAGCTCCCTGTCAGCTCTGTGATCACAAGGGGAAGCAGTTCACAGCCTGTGTGCCATGAGGCTGAGCCATGGAGCTCAGTGGGTGAGGGGATTTCAAATGGCACAGTAAACCTATAGTAACATTGAAAAATCCTAAGTCAAACTATTTTCAGTACAGATACTCTTCTACTTCCAATGGGGTTGTATACTAGTAAGCTCATCATATAGTCAAAAAATCTTAAGTGCAATCAACAAATATCAGGAATTGTCTGTATTTAGAACTACCTGCCTATGATACTCATTCCTGCTGATGCATAACAAAGGACAGAATTTAGTTATTCATTGAATGTAAAGATATTGGTGTGATAGTGGTCTTCACGCTGTTCCTGTAGTTACCATGTATTTCTTGACTTGCAGAAAAGCAGAATTAGTACCTTCAGCTGTGACTAATTAAAAATATCTGTACTAAGAGAGCTGCTAAGATATAATCAGAAGACATAATCAAAAGTAATATTAGAAAAAGATGAGGTATAAAAACTAATTCATGCTTACAGGAACTTAGATCCTTTAACAATGACTGTTAAAATCAACTTTCTCCCTTCAAGTCTATAAAATGCTAAAATTTACATTAATGGAAAGATCTTCTACTAGATACCATATTCTTTCTGAGCTTTGAAAAGATTATTTTTTTTAAATGTGATAAATTTCTCTCCTTTCTCAATACCTCGAGCTTCCAAATTTTTGCAGAATATATCTTTAAGGAAAAAGTCACAGTTCTCTAATTGACTAGGTTCAGCGGCAGGCAAAAGTATAGCTTTAAAATTATAATTTAAAAGGAATCTAACTCATGAATGCCTTCTTGGCTCTTCTCTGAAAGCAAGGCCACTACATCAAACAACTCACTGAGGTTACCCACCAGTGTCAAACTATAACAGCCCCAAAGATTTTGAATACTCCCTATCACTTTACTCAAGTCAATAAATTTTCATTTAAATCAAGCTCTCAAATATTGCCAATGAAAATCCTTCCAACTGCTCAACATATGAACTCTTTTTTAAGATTTAATTATTTATTTGAAAGGCAACACTACAGAGAAAAAGGGAAAGATAAAAAGAGAAAGAGAGACATTTTCCACCCAATGTTTTACTCCTCAGATGGCTGCAATGGCCAGAGCTGGGCTAGTCTGAAGCCAGGAGCCAGGAGCTTCTTCTGGGTCCCCCACATGGGTGCAGGGGCCCAAGTAACTGGACCATCTTCTGCTGCTTCCCAACATGCATTAGCAGGAAGCTGGATTGGAAGTAGAGAATCTGGGACTCAAACTGGCACCCATATGGGATGCCAGCACCACAGGTGGCACCTTAACCTGCCATGCCAGTCCCATGCTGGGACTTCAACATATGCACTCTAAAACTCTGCAGGTCTGCAGGTTACTTAAACTGAGAGCCTTGGTTTTCCATTAAAGTACTGAAAAATTACTTCTTAGGATGTATGTGTGTGTGTGTGTGAGAGAGAGAGAGAGAGAGAGACAGAGAGAGAGAGAGAGGAGAGAGAGAGAGAGAATATTAAACAGAATATATATAAAAGCCCACCTCGAATACTTGATACATAACAAGTGTTCAGTAAATGATACTTGGTATTGTCCATGTCTAATATTTGAGTATCTACTTTTTTAACATCCTATTTATTTATTTACTGATTTTTCAAAGAGAAGTTCAAACAGAAACTATAATGAGCTTTGGTGGAATGTTATTGTTAAATAACATTAAAATGCTATTGTTAAAATTAGTATTCGTTTAAATGTACTCACTATTAGAAGTCACTTTGTCCATCTAAACGGATTGCAAGATGAAAGAGAATGGAACCTGTCTGGGTTACTAATTAGTGTCAAAGAGAGTGCACCTGGAATTGGGCCATGTCCTTTTCAACTTTTATTTAATAAATATAAATGTCCAAAGTACAACTTTTGAATTATAGCAGCTTTCCCTCCCCATAACCTCCCTCCAACCCACAACCATCCCATCCCCCACTCCCTCTCCCACCCCATTCTTCATCAAGATTCACTTTCAATTATCTTTATATACATAAGATCAACTTAGTATATACTAAGTAAAGATTTCAACAGACTGCAGACACGCAGACACACAAAGTATAGAGTACTGTTTGGGTAGTAGTTTACCGTTAATTCGCATACTACAACACATTAAGGACAGAGATCCTACATGGGGAGCAGATGCACGGTGACTCCTGTTGTTGATTTAACAACTGACACTCTTATTTATGACGTCAGTAATCACCCGAGGCTCTTGTCATGAGCTGCCAAGGCAATGGAAGCCTCTTGAGTTCACCAATCCTGATCTAATTTAGACAAGGCCATAATCAAAGTGGAAGTTCTCTCCTCCCTTCAGAGAAAGGTACCTCCTTCTTTGATGGCCCATTCTTTCCGCTGGGATCTCACTCACAGAGATCTTTCATGTAGGTGTTTGTTTGTTTGTTTGTTTGTTTGTTTTTGCCACAATGTCTTGGCTTTCCATGCCTGTGAAACTCTCATGGGCTTTTTAGCCAAATCAGAATGCCCCAAGGACCGATTCTGAGTCCAGAGTGCTGTTTAGGGCATTTGCAATTCTATGAGTCTGCTGTGTATCCTGCTTCCCATGTAGGATCATTCTCTCCTTTTTAATTCTATCAATTGTTATTTGCAGATACTGGTCTTATTTATGTAATCCCTTTGACACCGAATCTCATCATATTGATCAATTATGAACTTAAACTGATCACTTTAACAAGTAAGATGGGATTGGTGCATGCCACATTGATGGGATTGAATTGGAATCCCCTGGCACATTTCTAGCTCTACTGTTAGGGGTAAGTCTGAGTGAGCATGTGCAGAACTGTACATCTCCTCCCTCCATTATTCCCTCTCTTATATTTAACAGGGATCACTTTTCAGTTAAATTTAAACGATTAAGAATAATTGTGTGTTAATTAAAGAGTTCAACCAATGGTATTAAGCAGAAAAAAAGGCCATGTCCTTGACCCCTCCTCATTTAGGAAGAAGGAGCATGCAAGGGAAGTCCTCAAGCAATAAACGAAGTGAGAGACCTAGGACTGAATTTCTTAATGCAGTCAGGAGAACCACCCAAGGAGAATTTGCACTCCCTTAACCTTTTCTCTCTGCCCAGGCAAGTGCAGGACCTATGTAACTGCAGGTATTTTCTGACTGATATAGTGGGGACTGGACAAGCTAAACAGTCTAAGATGCTGGATGCTCAGAAGAATATAGGAAGGCATTCTCAGGACAGATTTCCCAGAAAAAAATTTTCAGCTTCATCTGTAAATAGAGGGTCCCACAATAAGTAAAAGGCTTCCTTTCTGAAGGGGTACCCTTCACTATCTACTTTGTGATCTGCACAGTCCTGAGACTCCCTGAAGGCTGAACTATGGAAGGGATTACACACAGGAGAAAAACGTTGTTCTTACATAAGCCTTTTTCAGAATGTTCACTTTTAAACATTTCAGTTCATTGTACTTAAAATAACTACACATTGTTAATTTAGCTGTAATTCCACTTAAGACACTACGTATGCTTACTCACTGCAAAAGTATGCAAAGGACACCCTGTACTTTTCATCTGATATGGTAATTACAATTCAGCTAATATCAAAATGCCCATTTCTGAACCATGCTGGAGTTTTCTGAGGATCCCAAAATCCATGTCAGTCAACATGATATCAATTATTTCTGTAAAACTCTCTGAATTGAAAGAATCTTTGTTCCTTTAAATTTTCCTAGAATCCCAAAGGCTCTGGCTACTGAATAAACTACCCTGGTAAATTAACAATTGGAAATAAAATGGGTCATACGATCCTATACCTATCTTTGTGCTACCTTTGGTTATTTTTTTTTTCATAATTATTATGTTTCTTGAGTAGTTTCAAATGTAAGTGGGTTTTAATAGGTGTTCTGGGGCTATCAAACTTACACAAAATCAAGATAATCAACCATGTCTTATGATATGATGTTGAGAAGTTAGCATTTCATTTTCAAAAAATGCACTTCCTCTCAATTTGATGGAGGCTGAATGTGTTGTAGTGGTGGGGAGTATATATGAATTAAGATAAAAATGTCAATTATTCAAAAGGAAACACAAGTCTATTCTCAAAGTCACCTTAAATAATAAAGAAATCAGTCTCTTTCATGAGCGACAAAGGAGGAGAACAGAAGAACATGTAACCCTTGCAACCAAGACCAGACACAGGCATTTTCCAGTCACCAGCATCCACATCATGACTCACTCACAGGGCTCCCTGGCTGGAGATCTTGAACATTACAGAGAAATTCTGTGCTGTGGTTTTCTATGTATTTTTTTTTCAAGTTGACATTCTCAAAGAAAACTATCCAACAACCCACAATGGATTTTGCATGTTTACCCAGAGTCAGTCCATACTTACAGGATCATAGGATCCTGATTAAAGTAGAATGACAGAGAAGCACACACTATGCCTTGTCTTTCTAATACTCACTCTTTCAGTGGATCTGGGTACCCTAGCACCAGAGGCTAAAGTCTCTGGTGCTACTGTGAAAAGTTAGACCAGCTGACCTAGCACCTTTTCCCAGGCATGGTCACAATTCTACCTGGAGACATACCTTCAGGGGCAGCACCTCTTTGTTTATAGAGAAAAACGAAGCCATGGCTTTGGTCCAGGAACAAAGACCAGCTACATTCCCACATACGCGTTTAGCAGTTTCAATGTTGTAGTCTGCCATTTCAAAGTAAGGATTCAAAAGTTCTATCACTTCTTCATTGATTGTGTCTTTTGGGAATTGCTATGAAAGAAAGGAGTAAAATTGAGTAAAACACTTCTTTCCATGAAATCAAACTCAAATTATACTTGTATTTTGTCAATATGTCATGATATAAGGCAAGTCATAAAAATGAAAAACAGTAAGAAATGACAGCAAAGAAACGTTACTATACACTTTGTCTTCTGTGGACAAAAGATACCAACCCTAAATAAATATACTGGGATTCAGGGAATGAGTAAATTGTTTAGGTGATCAACACTAATATAATTATTCAAATTCCCAAAGCTATAAAAATTTCTTGACATTAATCCTAAATACTGGATTACAAATCCACAAGATCAACAGTGAAATACACATACACAGGTATGTTCAGCCTAAGGCTATAGAGACTTAGCATTTATCAGCAACTAAACATATAATACCTTTAGACAGAAGTTCTATTAAACTCAACTGAAATGTGAAGATAATAACTTGGACACTAGGCCTTGAGGATAATGAATTAATTTTTAATCACAGAACTATCAAAAATATGAGAGAATTAGTAACTTCCGAAGGGATGAAATTTTAAAGCAGTGGCAGAAACAGATTCAGAATGCCTTCCTGTATTAGAAAGGGCAGACTGGACAACGAACAAAATTGGAAATTGAAAGTGGTATTTTCTCTTGAGTGTGATTAAATACTTTCTAAGTAGAAAGAAATTGAGCATCCAAACAAGCATATACCATACAGACTAGAACACACTTTCATTCCAACCTCACTGAAGGCACATTTCCTTTATGAGACTTGAAAAATAGTGAAGCCAGAAATATATCTAGAACCAACAGAAGGGTAGACCATGTGACAAGAAGACAAACAGAAAGGTATGATCCAAAAGCAGTGGCCCTCCCACCAGGCAAACAAAGTAGGCTTCTTGTGTCACTTGCCAGGATTCTACTTGAAATCCAATTCCACTGTCACAGAATAGCATAAGTATCTGGGACCAGACTGTATAGCCCACTGCTTTCATAAGCTACTCATGGTTATAGTTGCTGTAAGGTACCTCACAAGACTCTAGTCATAGCAATCACTTGGGCGATGTTGGACTGCAAAATGGAATAAAGTTAGCACTAAGGTTATAGCTTAGACAATGGATCTGAATTGGGTATTCTCAGTTGTCTCAAGATCTAGATATGAAAGCTAAAGCAAACCTTCTTAGGGAAATAAAAAAAAAAATTCATCTGGCTTATAGATAGACAAAGATCTCCTAAACTCAACACAGACACCAAAAGTGCTGCTTAGGAAAATATTGACTAATTGGACTACATTAAATCTAAGAATTTCTGATTATCAAAAGACACTATTGATAGGATGAATACTAAGCCACAAAGTGGCAGAGATGTCTAAAAATATATAAATGACAAAATAGTCATGTTTAATATCTTAAGAAAATTCTACAAAATAATAAAAATAGGCAAGAGTATGGAACAGGCCTTAAGAGAAAAATTCCCAAGATTATCATTAAATATGAAAATATTTTCAAATTCATGAGTCATCAGAGAAATGGAAATTAAACCCATAATAATAAAAAATACTACAAACCCACCAAAAGAGCTAAAAGTAGAAATTGATGAAGATGTGGAGAATTCAAAACTGACTGGTGTGTACATTTATATAATCACTTTTGAAAACTCAGTGGCATGATCTACTAAAGTTGGTTAAATGTACATAATCTAAGACCAAGAAATTACACTCCTGAGTATAAGAGCCAACAGAAATGTGTACATGCAAGCACCAAATAACATGTAGACAAAGAGTCATAGCTTTATTTATGTTAGCCAAAAATCAGCAGCAACCCAAAAGTCCATCAAGAGTGCATGGGCTAAACAAGTCAAAACATGTTAAAGTGTTCATGCTAGGGCTCATTCATACAGGTTCATGAGAAATTACTGTTAAATGTTGAGGTATTCTGTAAACCAGTTGATAAACACACCCATTATTAAAATTAAATTATATAAACTTTTAACTAAATAAATTATATTTAAAACAAAGTAACACATCTGCAAAACTCATCACTTTCTATTTTACTACATCTTACTAGCATCTTTTTTGAGGTCATTTGTACTCTTTTTATCTACATCATAGATATAATAATAATGTGTTGTTATGAACCTTTTCCCAGCTCTACCTTCAACAACATAATTTTGGTAGCTTGAAGTTGCCATCGTCAGAGTTGTTACACCATGATAAACATTATGATAGTGAATAAATTTTTCCTTCCCATCCCACCAAGAACCAGTTGCTAAATATTTACCACGTATTCATATCCTTGAAAGTTACATAGCAATGAAAAATAAGAATGTAATTCTGTCTTTGGCAACAGTAAGAGTGACTCTCATAGACACACTGAACAAAAGAGGTCAAAACCAAAGGGTTCATAAAAGTATGGCTTCATACAACTATATTTCAAAACAGGCAAAATTAATGATCAGGATAAAGGTCAAAATAATTGTTATTTTAAGGGATGTTACTGACTGGGTTGGGGAATGAAAGTGATTTCTGGGAATCTAGAAACACAGTCTCTGCTTTCAATATTCATTAATAAGTATGTATGTATGTAAATAATCATCAAGTAGTGCACTTGGCACTTCTGCATTTTGTTACATGTAAGTTCTTTCTCATAACAAAATTAAAAAGATATAAATTAATATTAAATAATCACTACTGAGGTCTTCAAAAGATACATGTATGCATATATTGATATATATTATGCACAACATATATATATATACATATATATTATCCCCTAAAAACAATTTTTTTCTTTTATTACAGTATGGAAATATGTCAGGAAAATCTCTAATGCTTACAATGTCTGACACTGGAAGGAGAAAGCTCTACTCCAAAAGAAACACTTAAATACATAATCAAAATAAGTACGTAGAGTTAATTCTTCTTAGATTCATAAGATAACTCTGTTAACAGATTCAGATACCCAGTGAAGACCGAGTCCCCTCTTAATCCATCATGATTGACTACCAACCTGTAAGTTCTGTAAGAAGTTGCCTGCAGTCATCAGTTTTAAAGATTCCTGCCAGGAGGGAATGGTACAGCTTCTTTCCAGGTCAATTTTCACCACGTTGACTTTCCTTTGAAACAGCAGCAGCACACAGTCCATGATGCGCATGATGAGGTGAGGGGGCCTGCCCAGTGTGCGCACAGTTGCGATGTCAGAAGGCTTGATCGTCTGGTAGGAGGGAGGAGAAGATGGTCATCCAATCTCAGATAAGAAAGTGCAGACAAATTTTTAGTGTGTACATGCAGCTTTTTCAGCAGAGAACAGCAAGCATCTTTCAGTTAGATACAGAATGATAGGGTCTAGACACATATTTCATCCCATAGCAAGACACATCTGCGAAAGTTCAGATTTTTACAATTCAAACTGACAGTGAAGGAGAGAAACGTTGGTCAGCAGATAAGGAGCTGTGACTTCTCTAAAATTGTACAGACCACTTTGTGTCAGAAAAAAAGAAAAGTGTATCTGGGGGAAAAAATGCTCAGCACTTAAACAGACATCAGGGTTCGAAACCAGGAAAAATACAGCACTGGTGGTGCTTTTTTACTCATTAGCCATGTAGGTCAGGAACTTACCTCTCTCTCAAGCAACTCAGACTTGTCACAGTGGACTGACACCAGAGGGTAGCCCCAGGGCTGACAGACTGAATAATTAGAGGTTTCTTAGCTGGGAACTGACCTTTAAATAAAGGCACTTGAGAAACAGAGTTTCACAAAGCTTTCAGAAAAGTTCTATTCTGTTCCCAATACAGATATTCTTATAGAGTAAATTATTTAATACTCACATAAACCTATTTTGGTTGATAATAATTGCTCTATCTATAAAACTCTTTATAAAAAAAGAATACAGAAAATACTAACTGTAAGAATCTACTACAGTGCCATCTCTAGGAGGAATAATGTATATTCACTCCTTTCAGGTCTTAAAAACCTTCCACCTAGTTTGCATTTACAGCCCTCCTGTCAAAAGAAGGTAACTGATGTCTATCCACCTGCTCAAGGCTAACCATCTATTCTCAGAGGACTGAGAGCACGTACACACCCACACCCACCCACATACACACACATACACACTGAACTTATTAATCAGGAATCTAACCATATTCCTTTAAAGGATTGCTTTAGTACGCCAGCATTTCAAAAGCTAGATAGCTAGAAATTGAGGAGAATCTGTGGTAAAGAAATGGAAGGGGCAGTGGATCTTTATTTTAAATATTTGGTTAAAAAGAAAGGGGAGAAATAGTTAAAAAAAAAAAAACAGTGGAAAATAGTATCAAGTTAAAATGATAGAAAATGTTAAGACCTGGGCATGCTTACTCTGTACTGCCTTTAAAAATTAGCCTTTTCAGGGCCAGAGCTGTGGCACAGAAGGCTAAGCCACCATGTGGAGCCACTATTCCATATAGACACCAGTTCATGTCCCGGCTGTTCCTCTTCTGATCCAGCTGTCTGCTTATGGCCTGGGAAAGCAGTGGAAGATGGCCCAAGTGCTTGGGCCCCTGCACCTGCATGGGGGACCCAGAGGAAGCTCCTGGCTCCTGGCTTTGGATCGGCCCAGCTCTGACCGTAGAAGCCATTTGGGGAGTGGACCAGCAGAAGGAAGACATTTCTGTCTGTCTCTCCTTCTCCCTATAACTCTACCTCTCAAAAAAAAAATCTTTTTTTTAAAAAAAAAGTAGAATTTTTAGACAGAATTGGGCTTAGTATTTTAGGTATCCAAATACAAGGGTTTGGGGGCAGAGCAGAGCTGACATTCACCCTGGACAGTTGAATACTGAACTCCTCTTTTCTTTGCAGATAGAGTAATATGACTTTTGTAATCTCTAATACACCATGACAATATGACAGTTATTTAACACCAGAGGGTTTTTTTTTTTATTTTTGCTTTCAGCAGCTTAAATCAGATCAAGCACCAAGATAGGAAGAAACATTCTTTGCTATTTGATGCATGCATTAGAGCAAACTGATGTCAAATGCTATAGTCTGGATGTATCTGGAACTTTCTTAGAATAAACTATAACCATTTTTCAAGATTTCAAAAGTTCACAAGGAGGTAATAAGATGGAGACAGGGGACTAGCACTGTCACACAGTGGGTAAAGCCGCCACCTGCAGTGCCGGCATCCCATATGGATGCCGGTTCAAGACCCAGCTGCTCCACTTCCATTCCAGCTCTCTGGAATGGAATGGCCTGGGAAAGCAACAGAAGATGGCCCAAATGCTTGGGCCCCGGCACACATTTGGGAGAACTGGAGGAATCTCCTGGCTCCCTGCTCCTGGCTTCGGATCAGCACAGCTCCGGCCATTGCAGCCAGTTGCAGAGTGAACCAGCGGATGGAAGACCTCTCTCTTTCTCTGCTTCTCCTTCTCTCTGTGTGTAACTCTTTCAAATAAATAAATAAATATTAAAAAAAGAGATGGAGACAGGACCAATGAGGGAAATTATCAAAATCTCTTTCATGCATCCATCACCATGTCCGTTTCCACACATTTCTACACTGATGATTATGTGGTTCTAATTGGTGGTAGAGAGTACTGAATTAAGGGGATAATGGAAAGCATTTTTATAATATCAAAAAGCATGCCAAACCTTTTAAATCTAGGGAAATCTTAGTCCTTTGAGCAAGACTTGAGATGCCATATGCTTCATTCCTGTGCCTTGAATTTAATAAGGTTTGCTAGGATGCTTTGTACTATAATCATCTTCCCAATGCTGATCAGAGACTCTCAGTGAAGCCAAAGGGCAGGGCTGAGAGGGGAGTAATTAAGGTTCCCCCAAATTGGAGAAACTGAAAACCCAGGTTAGTGCAAACAGGATACGGAAACAATAACAAAGATGTGTCACATGGAAGAGCAATGTGAGAAGTGGGAGAGATGAAAGAGGCAATATCTTATGAAATCTTTTCATTTGCAGCAACACAGATGGAAGTGGAGACCTTTGTGGTACCTGAAATAAGCCAGGCACATGTAAAACCAGTACTGCGTGATCTCACTCACATGAGGAATTGAAAAACCTTGGTACCACAAAGCTGAGAGTGGAAGGGCAGTCACCAGAGGCTGGGAGAATAGGCAGAGAAAGGATGGGAAAAGATTGACTAATGGGTATGAAGTTGCAGTCAGACTGGAATGAGAAATTCTGATATTCTATTGCATAGTCAGGCAACTATAGAAGATTATGATATACTGTAAATGCATTTTTAATTCAGAGGAAAGGATTTTGAATATTTTTACCATATAGAAATCATAAATGTTTGAAGAGACAGACATGTTTACTTTGATTTGTATATTGCCAAAATATATAAGTATCAAAACTTCATGTGGTACCCCGTTAAATCCATCAATTTTAATGTATCAATTAAAATAACTTGAAAATAAAAGAAATCCATAGGTTGTATATTGACACAGAAAGCCTAAAAACTTAACTTGAATCAAAAAGACATAGAAATGTCTTAAGGTGCACACTAACAAAGTGGTTAAAAAACACATTATCAATAATGAGTGATGCATGCTTGATTAAGGTTAAATAACTTGAATCTGCAGCAGGCAGATGAGCAATATTCCAATTCTCCAGTCACTTTCTGGGCTAGGAATATATAATATAAGGGAGTAGATGAATGAGACTGAAGTAAAAACAATCTTGAGTCCAGAATAATCTTAAATTGAGTCTTCAACACTATACCAGTCCTTTAAAGGTGTGACCCAGTTCACTAAACACATTTCACTTTCCCACAACCAAGCTTCTTCATAATGACACTATTTCTGTCTATTGCCACACAGTGGTATGGATTAATTGCATCAGAAGCCTGCTCAAACTCGGTCATTGATAAGCCTCATTGGAGCAATAGCTCTCTCCTTACCCGGATAATGCACAGATACAGAGATTGTTGTATGTTACATATAACCTACTCCAGTGTCCTCAATGAATGAGTGACAAATGCTATTTTGGAAAGTATGTGAGACTTTCCCAGTGTCACACAGCTTACTGATGACATCGCTGAAGTGAAAACTCAAGATCTTGGCCACCATTCAATGACAAAGTAAGGAGAGGAGATGTTCAGTAGTTTGTGCCAAATCTATAAAGAGCTAATAAGATCTCCAAGCAGAAAACATTACCTGAAAGAATTCCAGTGGGCAAAGCTTTGATGTGAACCTGAAGAGCGTTTCCTTGCTATTATTAGTATTTGCTTGCCTCCATCTTCCTCCTGGGCCCTAAAGTGGCGTCTATGTGAGGTCACACAGATTTACCTGCAACGCTGCTTCTGCTTCTTCTAAAGCGGGCTTTGCAGCTTTCAGTTTTTCCTCAGCAATGGCTTTGTCTTTAGAGATGCTGTCCACAATGGCCTGGGCTTTGTCCTTCACCTTCTGAACCTCAGCCTTGACCTTTTCAGCAGCCTGTGCCTTCATTGTCACTTCTTTTAAGACCTAATTCAACACAAAACAAAAAGAGCTTCATCAAAAATTATCAAACAGGGGCAGGTGTTTGCCCAGCAATTGAGACACTCATGTCCCATATCACAATGTCCAGGCTTCATCCCCACCTCCAGCTCCTGGCTCCAGCTCCCTACCAATGCAGACCCTGGAGGCAGCCATGATGACTCAAGTACTTGGATCCCTGCCACCCAAGTGGAAAACCAGGATTCAGTTCCTGGTTCCCAACTTCAGTCTGGTCCAGACCTAGCTGTTGTAGGCATTTAGGGAATGAACCAGTTCATAAATCATTCTCTCTTTCCCTCTCTCTAATAAATTAATTGATTAGTTAAAGGAGGAAACAACAGCCAAATGTGTATTTTGTTTATTAATTTTATCTAATTACCCAATTGTTCATATATAATATTGAGATTTTATTCTAATGGAAATAAATAACCTATACTTCCATAGTTATGATGTAGTAAACATGCATGAATTGTTCCATGACTCCTGATGAGAACTGGAACTCAAGTAGAATAGGGCATGTATGTATATGTCCACCCACCATGTCAGCTTTATCATTGGCCACTTGCAGCTCCTTCTCTTTTAGTTCCAGTTCTTTGCTCAGGGCTGCAACAGACTCTGAAGCTTCTTTTAACTTTTCTAATCCAGTGTTCATCCTGGAAAATCCAAGCAAGCAATGCTAAAATTTGTGGTACTTTGGCTCCATTTCCAAGTACAAGTCCACCAATAGAGTAGCAAGAGTCACATTTGAAGAATGAGTGTATGCAAACAGGAAACAAAAAGAATGTAAGTCCAGGCTTAACTGAAGACTAACACATACATTCTCTTCACAGGCCACGAGGGAAGAGTAAATGCCCTAAAATGTGCTCCTGACATGAGGAACAACAGTGGATTTAGCATCTGGACCTACAAAATAGTAAAACTTCAATGACTTAGACCTCAAGTGCTTGCAGCCCTTTCCTAGGAGAAGGAAAATAAATAACTGTTTTACAATAAAAATTAAAGGTCCAATTACATTAAAAGAAGAAAGATTTGAATTCAAGAAAAGAAACAAATTTAAAGTCATCATAAAAGTTCCAGAAAGGAACTAGCTGCCTCTCTGAACCTGAAATAATGTGATCCTACAGATGGGAGCCCTCAGAGTCACTTCATTTAAACATTCACTCAGGGATCCCTAACATACAACCCTGACTGGTTCTGGCCATGTACAAGTATAAGGTCTGTGTGTTCAGAAAAGCACACAGAACAGCAGTGAAATTTCAAAGGAACTTCAGTGGAACAGGGCATTCATTGTGCAGCCAACACGTACAGGGGCCAGGTTCTTCTAGTCACTCAGAAGGAGTTGGATAAGAAGAGGGAGGAGGAGGTGTCTGCATTATCAACCTCCTTACAGGCCTATCACTTCTACAAGTTTGCCATTCAATATCACAGGAAAGCGTAGGCCACATTAAAGCTTAATCACAGTTTATCCTATTGGGCAACAATTAAACCCTAGGAACCATGAATAACTCCCTGGAAAGGCTCAAGAGGAGAGTTTCCCATCTCAGTGCTGTTCACAGTTTGGCCTGCATAGTTAATAACGGCAAGGAAGGAGGGGAGTTGTCCTGCTCCCTGTAGGATGTCCTGCAGCATCTGTGGCCTCTCTCCACTGGACGCTGTTAGCATCCTTCCCTGGCAACCCCACCACTCCAGCTGTGACAAAAGTGTGTCTAATCATTGCAAGATGTCCACACCACAAGGAGCAATCAGCCCTAATTGACAGCCACTGCTAATGTAACTTTGGAGCCGGGCGTCACACTTACCTGTTGGCCAGTGTCTGCACTTCCATGTGCTTTTCTCCATATATGAACTTATAACCCTGAATAAAGGAGAGGTATGACTTGGGAGTCACATGGGTAGAGCGTCGAAATCTCTGGAAGTAATCGACACACTTCTCAGCCACCCCATCCTGGAAGGAGCCCATGCACTGAACCACCTCCTTCTTGGTCTCCAAACTGCAGTCAATATGATAGGAGGAGAGGAAGTGTTCAGACACTAGAAAGAGGAACCATGATAGTGTGTGAAAGATGGTTGTGAATTATGATTTCAAAGTTAACTGACTATTTTTAAAAGACAGACATTTCTTATGGCTGCACATGGATTTTCATAACCTCAGCTAAGTAGATCTATTTCAACAGTTTTGGCCCCAGGCCTGGGACATCAACAATTTTATTTTCCTTCTCAGGTATAAATATATAAAAGGCTTGAAGCCTATCATCGTTCTTTGTTCTCTAGTGCTTGTGCAAAGAAGTCTCTACCAGCTGCAGGTTCTGGTCAGCAGCCAACCTGCTTTATGGTTTGCATAAGGATAAAGGTGTTACAAATAACTCAGAAATCAATGCCCACCTGGTACTCATTCTTAACAGTCCCATTTATTTTTTTTAAACTCAGACCCTGTCAGACCTTTAATTCCCCTGGTTCTCACTGCATCTGACACATGAAAGTGTCATTGCTCAATGATTTTATGCCTGGATCATCTTTCTCTTAAATGCAGCAGCTCCCTATTTGTGGTTGGTTCTAATTTGCAGCATCCTTTAGAAATGTTTGGATAAAAGTGTCCTGTTGGAGACCTTGATCTTTTCCACGGTACCAAACAGCAGACCAATTCTAAGAGGACATTTACTGCTACAAGAACAAGCCATAATTTAAGAATGTATGTGTTGAGTGCCTTCTATATAGCCCCCGCAGTGAGGAGTGTCATGGAGTGGAAAATAAATATGAAGTTTGGTCTCAATCCTGAAGAATTTACAAGGGTTACACATAAGGCAGTTAAAATTAGCAAAACAATATATATCTTAGAAGAAATGGCCAATGTACATAAGAGTTGTAAATAGAAAACAGCCATTAAAAATGGAGAAGAAAAAGAATCAAGGTGACAGAAAAGAAGACAACTCTTGGGACTGATGTTGTGGCACAATGGCTTAAGCCACTGCTTGTAACACCAGCATACCACATCCGAGTGCTGGTTTGAGTCCCAGCTATCCCACTTCTGATCCAGCTTCCTGCTAAAGTGCCTAGAAAGGCAGCAGATAATCACCCAGACACTTGGGATCCTGCCACATGGGAGACCAAATGCGGCTCTGGGCTCCTGGCTTTCACTGCAGCCATCTGGGGAGTTAATGAGCAGACTTTAACCTGAAACTTTAGACAAAAAAGGAGGGGAGGAAGTTTCTTGATGCGGTGGACATGTGTGCAAAGATAAGGATGATTAGAGCCTGTTCTCAGAAAAAGAACAATAAAGAGAAGGTCTATATTGGGCTAGTGAAAGACTACAAGTGAGTTAGGACCACACTGTAGAAGGATGATTAATTTTAACACAGTATAATTCATTCATTCAACACTGTGTCAGGCACCAGTAGTTGCTGAAGTAGTGAGAAAAAAAATAGATATGTAGTCATTGACTCCATGGGTTTTTTTTTCTAAAAAGACAAATAAACATTAATCGAATAAATTACACAACTAGACATACAAATTACAAACTGGTTAGCCTCAAGAAGGAAAGGCATAATGTGACTGCCTTAAGGGAACACAGCAAGAAACAGAGGAAGATTTCCCTGACCGGGGGAAGGCAGCTGAGCCACAATTATCCAGACAAAGGAAGAAGGATGCAGCAAGGAATAGGGGAGAGACTGCATGGAATGAAAAATGACAAGTTCAAGGATCCAGGAAAACAAGGCCAGAAGAAAACGTGACTGCAGGTGAGTGGCCAGATCTTCCCAGCCGTGTTAAAGACTGTGATCTTTTCCTTGGGAGCAACAGAAGGATATGTAATGGTTTAGACAGAAAGCAATGTGATTGCATTTATATTTTCATCATTATTCTGTCTGCCATGTAAGATAGAGAGGAGACAGGTGAAAGAGGAGGAGAGATCATTAGAAAGCTATTTGGGTTTTCCAGGTGAATAACAATGATAGTTTGGTGTAGGATGTCAGTGAAAGGGAAAGAGTTGGAAAGATGCCACCAATATTTAGAAGACAAGGTTGACATAACTTGGAATTGGATTACACTTGAGACTTGAAGGAAGGAGAAGCATCATTAAAACAAAGAGGTTTCTGATCACCTATAGTAATGGACGATGGTGGTGTATTTTTCTGAGAAAGGGAAGTGGTTCAATTCCAGACATTTAGGGTTTAAGAGACCTGTGAAACATTGAAGAGAATGGTTCAAGCAGGCATATGAGGACAGATTTAAAGCCAAGGGCCAGAACAGATTGGAGATAAAAAGTAGAGGGACATATTATATAAGGGGCAATAGCTAAGCTTTTCTGGGGAGAGAATCTGGAGTAAAGAAATGAGCCCACCTTGCTCTGCAGTGTACCTGGCTCGGGAAGCAACATGCAGCTCAATAAATCCAAGCGTGCTTCAAAATACTCAAGGAAAATAAAAGTAACACAGAAGTTCAATTTGGCACAAAGAAAAAAATCTTGAAATCCAAGCATACGAGAGGTCTTCAAAAAGCTCATGGAAAATGAACATTCTGTAAAACTACACATGGATTTCAATGTTTTGCACCAAAATAAACTCACGTTTTAGTTTTACTTTTCTATGAACTTTTTTGAAGTATCATAATGTTTTCAATGAACAAAGAAATAGATTTTGTTTTAATTTATTTGACAGATAGAATTAGACAGTGAGAGAGAGAGACAGGTCTTCCTTCCGTTGGTTCACTCCCCAGATGGCCACTACAGCCAAGGCTACGCCAATCCAAAGCCAGGAACCAGGTGCCTCCTCCTGGTCTCCCATGCGGGTGCAGGGGCCCAAGCACTTGGGCCATCCTCCACTGCCCTCCTGGGCCACAGCAGAGACCTGGACTGGAAGAGGAGCAACTGGGACTAGAATCCGGTGCCCATATGGGATGCTGGCGCTGCAGGCAGAGGATTGACCCAGTGAGCCATGGTGCCGGCCCCCAAAGAAATAGATTACCACATGAAGATCAGCACACTTCCTAGGAACTATGGACACAAAATGAAAGTCCTCCAACCCACCCTTTGTATAATCTTGGCTTGGGATTTTGATGAGATCTAAAAGAATGTGAGAAATTAACAAAGGAAGGGTTTTAAAGCAGGGATGATTGAATAGACACTTAACAGGAAATGCTCTATATTGAATCTAATCTCCTACATCATGGCATAGTACAGCATTTGCCACCAGAAATTAGTTTTATTGTTAATATCTCACATGATATTTTATAAAGTACTTACCTACTGATTATTATATTTTGTAGTGTACTTTAATATAGCTCTGAAATGCTGTTTTCCTATTCTTGGTGTAAATATACTGCTTCAAGGAATTTTAAAATCTTGTCCCAAGTGGGTATTTGGCTCAGTAGCTCAGATGCCACTTTGGGTGCCCACACCCATATCAGAGCGCCTGTATTTGAGTCCCAGCTCCACTTCTGATTCCAGCTTCCTACTAATGCACACCCTGGGAGGCATTAGGAGATGGCTCAAGTACTTGGATGCCGGCTACCCATGTGGGAGCCCCAGAGAGAGTTCCTGGTAGCCTGGCCCAGCCTCAGCTATTTTGAGTCTCTCTCTCTCTCTCCCTCTCTCTCTCTCTCTCTTTCTCTCTGTCTTTCCCTCTCTCCCTCTCTCCCTCTCTCCCAACTCTTTTTTTCTCTGTCCTCTGCCTTTCAAATAAATAAACATAAGACAAAATTTTATTGCAAAAATCTTGTCCCTAGGTATATTTACATTTGATGGGACTTAGACTTTTAAATCACTGGTCTTTTCTCAAATCTCATAATATTGTACATTTATATTTTAAACAGTTAAAATATTCTATGTTTAAAAAGTTACCTAATGCTACCTAATGGAAAAAACACTATCATCAATATTATTATGCTAAAAATTAAGTTTTGTTTTAAAAAAGAAAAATTAGAGAGCAAAAGAGAAAGCATGGTTTCTGGCCTCAGTTCTGATTCTTAAATTTTTTTAAAACTAAGTTATTTACAATACAGATTAACAAAGAGAGAGGAAGAGACAGAAAAAGATATCTTCTATTTGCTAGTTCATTCCCCAAATTCCAGTAACAGCCAGGGCTGGGCCAGGCTAAAGCCAGGAGCCTGGAACTTCATTCAGGCCTCCCACATGGGTGGCAGGTGCCCAAGTACTTGAGAAATCCTCTGCTGTTTTCCCAGGCACATTAACAAGGAGCTGGATCAGAAGGAGAGCTGCAGGAACTCCAATGGGTGTCATGAGCAGAGGCTTGGCCCTCTGAGCTACAGTGCTGGACCCTGCACTGAATTCTACTGGCTTCTTCCACTTTTAACAAATTCCTCAGCTTCACTCTCTCCAGTGTTTCCATCTCCAAAGGGCAAGAGATGGGTTAATCAGTGGTTCTCAAACTGGGTACCACCAAGTTACAGAGGCAGGTTTGGGGTATGACAGGCAGGGTAGGGAGGTTAAGGGGAAGATTCCAAAACAACCTCTCCTCCATATTTCACTGTACTCTTTTCTAGTGTTACCTGTAAGGAATTAGTGGGAAATAAGGCTTTCTGTATAAAGCATAACAATTGGACAAGTTTGAAAGCCACAGCCCTGAATCAAGCTTTTCTCCTATTATCAAGAAACAGCTGGTCAAGGATGAGATCTAAGTACCTGCACCTTCTATAACATCAGATAATATCTCACCAGAATCTCAGAAAATTGTAACTAAATGTATGATCTTTAACATTCCATGCACCACTTCTGTGTTCCAATTTCATTCATAGAGTAAGAGAAATGTTAATATTCCACTGGATGGGAGTAGAGGCAGCAAAGATTCTAGTCCGAGAAGACAGTGGATAACTAATATCCTTTGTCAAAAGCATAAACATCAGAGCACTGCTGGATAATATTTTCCTCTTTGATTTACAGCACTGCAACATCCAGGATAGTCCACAGATAAATTAACTATTCTGAGGTTGACAAGCCCACTCAAAAAGGACACAATTATGTGGGCATTCATTTTACATAGTGATTAACACACTGATTGGGATGCTCAATGGGTTCAGGTCCCAGCTCTGCTCTCAATTCCAGTTCTAACCTCGCATGTGCCCTGGGAGGCAGTAGGTGATGGATCAAGTAGCTGGGTCCCTATCATCCATTTGGGAGACCTGGATTGGGTTACTGGCTCCTAGCTTTGGCTTGGCTAACTCCCAACCATGTAGCAACCGGGAAATGAATTAGTAGATATGAATGTGTTTGTCTTTCTTTCTTTCTTTCCTTCTTTCTTTCTTTCTTTTCTTCCTTTCTTTCTTTCTTTCTTTCTTTCTTTCTTTCTTTTTCTTTCTCTCTCTCTCTCTCTCTCTCTCTCTCTCAAATAAATAAATTTGTTTAAAAAAAAAAAAAGAAATAGGAAACACAATCTAAAAGACTAAAACTTCATTGGCTTCTTGTGGTATCCCGAAACTTGCCTGGGAAGCAAGACTTAGAGCACCACTAAAAACTAAAATCGCTAAAAATTAACCCAAGGGGATCGAGATTGAAGATGTTGTTCTCTGACACACACACACTCTGGGAGCACTGAGCTATCAAATGAGAAACAGCACCATCTTGTGGCCAAAATGCTCCTATGTTGGACAAAGATGCTTCAGCCAGTAAGTAGACAGCCAACAGCCCAGAAGTGAAATAAACAGTGAGCCAGAAACCTCGACAAATATTCCCACCACACTAACCAGCAACTAAGGCGTCCTTAGGCCATCGGCTGAACCAGTCAATGGTGCATCCTGAAATAAGGGCAGGGAACTTCAGAGCTCGATTTCGGAATTTCTCCCCCACAGGTGAAAAGCAGAGAACAATATGCAGGTTCTGCCGGACCCGACTCATGAAGTAGTCGTACAGGTTCTCGTTGGTAGGAGGACGCCTGGGGAATTCCTTTTTCATGACTGATGTCAGATCACTATTAATTTCATCAATTTCATCACGGGCAAATAGGTTGGAGACCTTTAAAATAAGTACAGGTCTTGAAATTCAGTACAGTCATGTGAAAACAAATCAAAATGTACAGCTCAATAGGTATATTGACTTTCATCCATTTGTGTTCTTAAGGTCACCTTTAAAAAATTCATGGAAAGTTTTTAAGACAAAATACGCCACATTTTAAAATACACCCTGATTCTATTATTACATAAAGTGATAACCATTGGAGGAGATACATGGACACACCAAAAATCTAACCAGCTTGCCTTCTCACCTCCTCCTGTTCTTTCATTTGTCACTTGGAGTACTCAGTGAGATTTTAAATGGTAAACTCCACATTTTTAATTGGGAGTTTTATTCTTCAAGAAGCCAACAGGGGCTGGAGTTTTGACTTAACCAGTTAAGCCACCACCTGTGATGTCAGCATCCCATATGGGTACCAGTTCAAGTCTTGGCTGCTCCACTTCTGATCCAGCTCCCTGTGAATGGCCTGGGAAAAGCAGTGGAGGATGGCCCAAGATGGGCCCCTGTTCCTACATGGAAGACTCAGATGAAGCTCCTGGCTCCTGGCTTCAGATCAACCCAGCCCAGCTATTGCAGTGATTTGGAGAATGAACCAGCAGATGTAAGATTCTGTCTTTGCACCTTTGCCTTTCCAATAAACAAAATAAATCTTTCTAAAAAATAAATAAATAAAAGCCAACAGAAAGGTGCATTGCTTCTACCCGATCACCTAAGGCCCAAAAGCACACATTCAGAACTCATGGAGAGCTCTAAGTTGGAGTGACAGGAAAAGAAAAAACACATGAAGAATAATTGAACTCCTACCTCTCCTGATGATAAGACATTGTTCATATATTCCAAAAATGACTCATCTTTAATCTCATTGTCTGTGAAAATAAACGTGATTCCTTTGCCTTGTTGACCAGCAGTTCGATACGAAATCTTCAGGTCTTCCATCAGATTTGAAGTGTTGTAGGACCTAAAGGAATACTGTCACTGTGTCATTAACTAAAACATTTGTGTGTGAAGGAAACAACCTTGTAATAATGTTTTATGCCATTAGCTTTTCCCAAAATGCTGATTTTATTCCATGATACAGGTATGTAATATATTTGAAAATTACTAGTTAATTGTCTTTTAAACCTCCATATTTCATAAAGCATTATAATTAATGTTTTTACACAAAAAATTAGAGTAAAAATTCAACCTAAAACAAGAATACAATTTCTACCACAAACAAATGTCATCTGAATGTGTATAATTTTGAAAATACTTGCTGGCAATTTTACTATTTGTAGGAAACAACAATTAGAATATTCACTAAACACTCATCTGTAATTGATATTTTAGAAGATATCTCATAAGTTAAACAAAACCAGCTCATTTCAATCTTTCATTGTATGGGAAGTGAGAGATGTCCTATTAAAAACTGTGCTTTCGCCGGCACCACGGCTCACTAGGCTAATCCTCTGCCTTGCAGCGCCGGCACACCGGGTTCTAGTCCTGGTCAGGGCGCCGGATTCTGTCCCAGTTGCCCCTTTTCCAGGCCAGCTCTCTGCTGTGGCCAGGGAGTGCAGTGGAGGACAGCCCAAGTGCTTGGGCCCTGCACCCCATGGGAGACCAGGATAAGCACCTGGCTCCTGCCATCGGATCAACGCGGTGCGCTGGCTGCAGCGCGCCAGCCGTGGCAGCCATTGGAGGGTGAACCAATGGCAAAGGAAGTCCTTTCTCTCTGTCTCTCTCTCTCTCACTGTCCACTCTGCCTGTCAAAAACAAAACAAAACAAAACAAACAAACAAACAAACAAAACTGTGCTTTCTTCATTCCTCACCACCATCACTATCACTGCATCCCTGGACAATAGGTAACAAAATACAGTCAGGGGGCCGGCGCTGTGGCATAGCAGGTAAAGCTGCCACTGCCTGCGGTTCTGACATCCCATATGGGCACCAGTTCGAGTCCCGGCTGTTCCATTTCTTTTTTTGTTGTTGTTGTTGTTAATTTTTGGCCAGGCAGAGTTAGACAGTGAGAGAGACAGAGAGAAAGAGGTCTTCCTTCCAATGGTTCACTCCCCTAATGGCCGCTACAGCCAGCACTGCGCTGATCCGAAGCCAGAAGCTGGGTACTTCCTCCCGGTCTCCCATGCGGGTGCAGGGACCCAGGCACTTGGGCCATCCTCCTCTGCCCTCCCAGGCCACAGCAGAGAGCTGGACTAGAAGAAGAGCAACTGGGACTAGAACCCTAGGTGCCGGCACCGCAGGCGGAGGGTTAACCAAGTGAGCCACGGTGCCGGCTACCTCTAACCCAACTCTGCTAGGGCCTGGGAAGGCAGTGGAAGATGGTCCAGGTCCTTGGGCTCCTGCACTCACGTGGGAGACCTGGAAGAGGCTCCTGGCTCCTGGCTCCAGATTGGCCCAGCTCCAGCCATTGCAGCCATTTGGGGAGTGAACCAGCAGATAGAAGACCTCTCTCTCTCTCTCTCTCCCATTGATTCACTCCCAAAATGGTCACCATGGCCGGCGCTGCACCGATCCAAAGCCAGGAGCCAGGTGCTTCTCCTGGTCTCCCATGCAGGTGCAGGGCCCAAGCACTTGGGCCATCCTCCACTGCCTTCCCGGGTCACAGCAGAAAGCTGGACTGGAAGAGGAGCAACCGGGACTAGGATCCGGTGCCCATATGGGATGCCAGCGCCTTAGGCGGAGGATTCACCTAGTGAGCCAGGGCACCAGCCTCTCTCTCTCTCTCTCTCTCTCTCTGCCTCTGCCTCTGTCTCTGTCTCTGCCTCTCTGTAACTCTGACTTTAAAATAAATAAATAAATCTTTTTAAAAAACACAGTTAGGAGGAAGAAGTAAGGAATAAGTGCACTGTCCAATGACTATAGTTTACAACAACCTGTTACATATTTTATTAAGAACTAGAAGAGAGGGGTGTAAAGGCTGCAAACACTAAGAACTGATAAATTTCAAGGAAATGGAAATTCTGATTGATCTGCTTTGGTCATTACACACTGTATACAATTATCATATTATATCCCATAAATATATACAATTATGTCAATTAAAGAGAAAATGTTTGGAGAAAAAGAGTTTTCTGAAGAATCAGTGCACTGTAGTAGAACAGCTAGAAATATTAAGAAATATCCCACTCTTGGCCGGCGCCACAGCTCACTAGGCTAATCCTCAGCCTGCAGCGCCGGCACCCCGGGTTTTAGTCCCGGTTGGGACACTGGTTCTGTGCTGGTTGCTCCTCTTCCAGTCCAGCTCTCTGCTGTGGCCCGGGAGTGCAGTGGAGGATGGCCCAAGTGCTTGGGCCCTGCACCCGCATGGGAGACCAGGAGAAGCACCTGGCTCCTGGCTTCAGATCGGCGCATGGCGCCGGCCTTAGCGGCCATTTGGGGGATGAACCAGTAGAAGGAAGACCTTTCTCTCTGTCTCTCTCTCTGTCTATAACTCTGCCTGTCAAAAAAAAAAAATATATATATATATATATATATCCCACTCTAAATTCTTTAACTATCAAAAGCAATCCCCAGGGGCAGGCACTTAGCCTAGTGGTTAAGATGCTATATCCCATATCAAAGTGCCTGGATTCCATATCTGGCTCCAGCTCCTGACTCCAGGTTTCCACCAAGGTAGACTTGGATTGAGTTTTCAGCTTCAGCTTGGACCAGCTAATGCAATTGTGGACATTGTGGACATTTAGAAGTGAATTAGTAGATAGGAATTCATTCTCTCTCTCTCTCTCTCTCTCTCTCTCTCTCTCTCTCTCTCTCTTTTCCTGTCTCCCTCCCTCCCTTCCTCCCTCTCTTTTTCTCCCTCTCCCTCTCAAGTACATAATTTTTTCATTTAAATTTTTAAAAATTGTGAAAGTATTCCATAGGCAGAAATCAGCTTACCATCAAGAAATATTAGACCCCAAAATAGAATATAGCCCATTCTTGCAAAAAATGTAAATAAAAATATCCTAATTCTAGAAAGCAAAATATGCTAGATTATCTTTGGTATTTTGTATCACTAAATAATCACAGATTTCACTACAGTGGAGCAAATGGCCATCTGTTATTTTTTAAGCTACTACAATTTTAACTTCTATATTATTTCCTTTTTTAACATCTATACACTAGAACCTAGAATAAGAAATCACATAACCATGAATCAATATTACTGGAGGACCTCTAGAGATGTGAAATCCAAGAGATGAAAAAAGCATTTCAAAGGCAGTCTCTCTTTAAAGAAAAAAAAGGAAAATATCTCACTCAGCTTTTTGTGATAATGAAAACTTTCAAGTCAGCCTCCTAGAAGTCAAGAGCCCAATGCCTCAAGTGGCATGACCTGAGACATCCTACAAATACATGTGCTTCACGTATGTGAGGCTCTTGTATGCCAGCCTTGGTCACACAGCTGTGCAAAGGCTGAAGTAGAACCGTGTCTTGAAGGCTATGAGAAAGCCAGGAAAACCTTATCCTTCCTGTCATCAGTGAAAGACCATTCCCACTGCAGCACCCACAGGGGCTAATTTACCACAGTGACAGTCATCACAGGGTAGGTTTATTGAGATCTGGTGACACAGAAGTCCTTCAGAGTAGAACCCAGACACCTCGCAATCAATTCTCAGCTAAATCTGGGATGTCGAGCAATTCACAGCCTCTGAGCTTCTGCTGCAAGATGAACTACTGCTATCTGCCCAGTAACCCATAAAGTTCTTTGGAAGATCAAATTATTCATGCATGTAAAAGTGCTTTGAAAACTACAAGGCTTTATATAAATGCCAGGAACAAAAATCAGAGCCCATTCCCATTCTTTTGCAAGCTATGCTCTGGTTCTACATACAAACTAGAACTGTACACAAAATGACTAGAATCATTTCTCTCTGTTCTAGCACTTGAATAAAACAATAACCTTTGGATTTTTCCTCTAATAAGAACACTACAGTTCAGGAAAGATGTGAAATATAACTGGATCTCCAAATCAATGCTTAATAAGTTCTAGCCTCTATCCTAGTAGGTGTCTAGGGGCCTCCCTCAATAAGGCTGGTCATTGCCATGTTTTATTTATCAATGCCCAATAGACAAGACTTTCTGTTCCCACACCTAGAAATTAGCTTCAAATAATTTCAGCCCAAATATCTCCAACTGGCTTCCTGATCCTTATCTTGATTATTCTTCAAATTCTGTTTGACTCCCCTGCTTATCTCTTCATGTTCACTTCTCACTTGCTACTTCTGTTTTCTCCCAGGACTGCACACATCTGAGGACAGCTGCTCTGGGGTTCCCTGTCGTGATGAGTAGCAGTGCCATCTATCTGTTCTCCAAAGCCAAAACTCAGGATGCACGTAGTCCTAAAGCTCCAGGTTCTCGTCTCTTGAATCTCCATTCTCCATTTCGCCATTCTCACTGCTGTCATTCCGGATCCCACCAAATCTAGCCTAGATCCTTGAAACAGTCTTATTACTGTTCCAATTCAGTCACTCCGATACATCTTCTGTACATACACATCAGACACGTTCTTCATGCCTAGACCATCCATGGTCCCCTGTTGCTCTAGGATGAAATCCCAATGCCTTGCCATATTTTCAAAAGTCTCCATTTCACTTTCCCTCCTACTTGCCAACTCTGTATCTGGCCTTATTGAATTTCTTCACATGTGCTGATCCTTCTGCCTGGAACAGTCTTGATTCTTCCTCTTCTCAGAGATAAACCTTTTTTTATATTTAGGTTTCACATCACTTCCTCCAGGAAGCCTTTTCTGACCATCCCCTAGACTAATCTTGGACCCTCCCTCATGTTTGAACAGGATCCTGTCTGCATTTATTTCCCTATCATACACAGCACCCACAAATCTTATTGAATGAGTTTCTCAGTTGTCTGTCACTCTTGATGACACAGTCTAGATTTACCTTGCTCCCCAGTGAATGCCCAACACATTGTCATCATTCAATAAATATTTTGAATATGTCTGAATGAGTATATCAACGTAAGTGTTTCCTCAATTTTTCCATTGTATTATCCTTCTTGAATCAGAACTAACATTTAAGAGGGATAAATTTCTTCTGAAATATACCAAAACTAGTACATGTAATACATTATATATAACATAAACACAAGGAAACAACTCTTTACTAAAATGAGAGGCTGAAATACTTCAAAAACAAATCACTAGCATGAAATTTTCAAGGTCTATGACAGAGGTTGAAAGGGGAAGATGATCAGTCAGTCAACATTCAAGAATAAAGAGCATTGTGATTCTTCCTCTATACAAAAAAAAAAAAAATTCTTAACTTCAGACGGTCTCTGAGAACCTATTATCAAAACCCATTTTAGATTATAGTAAAAGCCTTTTACCTTGTCAGAGTGATCTGGAAGGAAGTATAGCCAGCAATGAACGAAGCCAATCTGGTCAGACTCTGCTTTCCCGATCCGCCCACCCCAACCAGGAGGGCATTGCCCCGAGGAGTACGAATGACACGGGAGATCTATAATATGGAAGAGAAAAACATATATCTTTCAACATGAAAATCTACTGTTTTGTCCTATTTACTCAATTCAAGAATAAGGCCAAATAGTCATTTTGTAAAACGTGTGTATCTCAAGAACACACTGGAAAGGGGAATTGATGGAAGGAATGCAGTCATTTCTGAAACAGTGTCTGGGATGCACTGACAGGGTGAGGACAGTGGACTATACTTTTGGGAATTAGTTAGTCACTGGTACACTCTAGGCTATGACTTGCTCTGGGTCTTTAACGGTGATAAATAAAGAAGACTAAGGCTTCCTTTTAATTTGCCCAACATAATGCAGTATTACAGAGTATAGCACAGAAACTGCAGGATAATCTCCACCCTTGGAATACAGAGAATGCAATTAATTCAAATATCTCCCATATTTGGAATGTCAGCAAGGGACTAAATAAAAGGAGAGAGAAATTCCCAAATATGGTATAGATGACAGAATTGGTTTTTCCTTTTAAAAATGCAGGAAGTGAGCATACAAACCCTCCTATTATTTGGGAAAGACAGTGCTACCCAAGGAACCCACCATGAGGTGAGGTGATTACAGCCAGGTGAGAAAGTCAGTGTTATTCAGCATCTTCAGACCCAATCCAATCCCCCTTGTGATGGAAGTTCATGTTGACTTGGCTTCATTAATGCCAAATGAACCTCTTACAGGAGCTTCCAGCCCAGCCTGGAGAAGGTTCAACATAGAGTCCTCCATGTCGCTCTTCTTGCCTTGAATGATAACCACTTCCCTTTCATTCCTAACTGAACTTTAGGTTTGGGCGTTGCTACGATATGCATCTTTCTCGGACACCTGCCATGGAGCAGGACAGGGGCAGAGAAGGAAAGGGTTGCTTCTCTGGGGCTGGAGAAGGTTCCCAGCGTGCCTGGGGCTCTACATTCTGCCAAGGTTGTGTTCAACATCCTCTTCTAGCTGAGGGTGCTCTATTCCTCTTGGAAATACACCTAGGTTTTTGGATTATTTACCCCAATTTAATGTTTACCCTGGGAAAAGGAGACCATTTTTCCGGTCTCTTGCGGACCTGAGAACCTATGGAATAGGTGAGTGCTTAGCCCTGTTTTCTCAGCCTCTGGCTTACCCCTTCTGTGTGATTCTCTCAGATGTAATTGTGGGGGGTGAGGAAGGAGCGGCACACCTTCACCTGGCACAACTTTAAATGGCACAGACAAGGCAGGTAAGAAGTTCTAGAAGCCACATTCGGACCTTCTGTGTCTTTCACCAACAAAAATTTCTTTTATGCAAGTGAATATATTAGAGGTTTATATAAATGTGTTTGTTAGGAATTAATAAATGTTCATTCCAAAATCTTTAACTGGAATTGGGCTGAAGTATTAAACTAAAACTTTCAATTCCCAGGATCTGGCACAAAGTAAATCCTCAAAACATATTTGACAAAATAACAGATACATGAGCAAATAGATGGCTTTAAAGTATATTCAAAAACTCAAAATCAAATAGAAAACAGGGATTATGGGAGAAAGCGGCAGCAGGTGAGACCCTCAGATGGGGCTATGTTGTTGTGGTACATATGTTGTGAGACAGAGATATTCATTTTTAAATTCTATTAGCATATGTTTTAAAATTAATAATGTGCATGCTTTTAAAATGTCTTGCAGATGCCACAGTCTAGTGCATGCATAGTGGAGAATGCTGGGACACAGAGAGCAAAGATGGCAAAAGGAGGGAGGACTACTAGGCAAGCTTCCCCGGCAAGGGAGGCAAGTCTTTGGTATGGAGCTGGAATTTGATTTGGGCATTAGAGTTTATTATACAGAAAGGCGGCATGGTGGGGAGGATTTCAGCCAAATTTTAAGATGCATGAATGGGACACACAACATCTCAGCAGGACTAAGATGTCCCCATAAATGTGGGAACTTCAATTTGAGGCATGGAGATAGTGGGAGACGAGGCAGTGAGGGTTGTTCAGGGACATACGGGGAAATTCCAGATAATTTATCAAGAGTCTCATGCTTGACCATCTTCACAGTAGCTCATCCTGTGAAGTCTGAGGTAGCTAAGACAAGGTGCCCATCCTCACAGAGCTTAGTGTTCAGTGGAGGAGACAGACACACAAAGAGTTACACCTTATAGAGCACAGTACAGGCTGGCAATGCACACTGGTGAGGCTCTCAGAACCAGGATGTGCTTAATCGTAAGTGTCCTGCTTTCCTGGACTACATTCTGGGCAAGACTCATGAGGCTGGGTGGTACGTAGAGGATAGAGCATGAAAACCATTCATAACCTAGTTTGAACTTTGACAACAGAGGTAAAAAAGATATCACAGAGAAAAACTCTGTGTTGAAAATCATTATTTTAACTAATAAAGGAACAAAGAGATATGCTTCGTTTCCAATCACATTCCATTTGGTTGCAGTTTCTGACTCCATTTTCATCTCTTGGAGTCTATTGTGTCTTTTAACGAAGGCATATACTGCTAGACTCACACACACAACACAGAGTGTAGAGGTATTGTGCACAGAATGTGAGCTTGCTTAAAGAGAGGGCCTGTCAAGAAGAAGGTGAGGAATGGAGTATTTTAACTCAAAAACTCCAGTCACTGATTCTTTGGCCAATTCCAGAGCAGACAGATTAGAGGCTGAGGGTGACAGGAAACAGGCAAGGACTCAGCTGAGGCACCCAGGACTCCCACATCACACACAATGTGAAGAAAGGCTCATCCCTCACCATCTGTCTCATGAAACAGAAAAAAGAGAGTTCGAGCGAACTTGGTCAAGCACAAGACAAACATGCATAAACTTCACCTTCAATTCAAGCTGTAACGAAATTTCTAGTCGACCATACTGTGTCTCCAATAGAAACACTGTCATGAAGTTGCCTTTGGTATTACTCATTTAGAAAATGGAAATTCATTATTCGTCCTTATAATTATTTTTTCTTTATTTTTTGACAGGAAGAGTGGACAGTGAGAGACAGAGACAGAGAGAAAGGTCTTCCTTTTGCCATTGGTTCACCCTCCAGTGGCCACCGTGACCAGCGTGCTGCGGCCGGCGCACCGCGCTGATCTGATGGCAGGAGCCAGGTACTTCTCCTGGTCTTCCATGGGGTGCAGGGCCCAAGCATTTGGGCCATCCTCCACTGCCTTCCCGGGCCACAGCAGAGAGCTGGCCTGGAAGAGGGGCAACGGGACAGAATCCGGCGCCCCGACCGGGACTAGAACCCGGTGTGCCGGCGCCACAAGGCGGAGGATTAGCCTAGTGAGCCGCGGCACCAGCCTCATCCTTATAATTATTAAATAAGACGGAATGTCTATTCTTCCTGAAACACTTAACTCTTAATGATAAATTAGTAGCTAATTTCAAAGTGCTATTTATATAGGGCTTCAGAAGAACATTTGGGCTCATGAATCAGCACAGATGTCTCAGATTCTGATATGTCAGAGTTGCAAAGCTCAGCACCCTCACTCAGGGGATACTCAACTCCAGAACAGCCCCCTGATCTTCTTCCTTCTCCCTGACTTACTCCAGCCTGGATGAAATGTTTCCTCACCCACTTGAGGGGAAAGAGATCATGCAGGCAATCCTCATTTTCAAAGGAAAGGTTCAGCGATAAGCTATAAAACCCTCTCCATTGCTAAGATCCAGCAATTATTAGAGGTGACAATTTGTAATTATGAGATCGTTCCTCATGGTTAACCCTAAGTAATGGAAGACAGCCCTGAATTGTCTTCTTTCTAACAGAAAGGATGTATTCTGAAAAAGCAATTGATGTCAACACGGTAAGGATATCAACAATTGGTTTTAAACAGCAATATCTTGCATCTTAGATAAATTAGGTCACTTAAGTTGTCAAGGAAAATAATATACTTTACGCCCAACCTTTGAGGATCTGTTGTCATCTAAACGATGCCATAGTGACTCATGTGACAAAATAAAATGGAAACTGTACTGTTCTGGTGGATTTCATTTGAAACAGAATTTTCATCTGCCCAAAGTCAATTAAAAATCATGGTAAAATACTCATAAATTCTACCACTGGAATCACTTTAAGATAAACAGCATTAAGTGCATTTACATTGTTATGCAACCACTACCACCATTCACCTCCAGAGCTTTCTTCAACTTGCAAAGCTGAAATTCTGTACCCATTGAACACTGACTCCCCATTGACATCACCTCCCACTCCCTGGCTCAACCACCATTCTTCTTTCTGTCTCTATGATTCTGACTTCTGTAGGGACCTCACCAGAGTGAAATCATATAATGTTAGCCCTTTTTTGTCTGAATCGTTTCACGGCATAATGTTTTCAGTGGTTATGACTAATTTTTTGAGTGACATTCTTTTCTTGGCACAGAAATGAGCAGACATGGCCTATGCTTTGAACTCAGATGTCAACCACATTCATCCTATGCACTGGGCTGGAAGCTGTATAGGCAATGCTGAATAAAATCACCACATCACACATTTGAAATACACATGTTCTTATTTTCAGCCTTTAAGGTGTGACATGTTACATCCCATATAGAAATTAAATTGGACGACAGCACTGAGTTTATTTTTAAACTGAATATTCTCCCAGGAGATGAAAATGAAAGGGGGAAATTCTGGTGTGAAGCCAAGTGCCTGTCACTTCAGCAAGGTGCTACTTAGCGTGGCTACTGTACCTTGACTAAATGAGCCATTGCATCTGCAAAGAACACCATGTCCATGCCAGTGCCACGGACACTCTCATTATAGAGCTGCAGGAACATATTCAAACGCTCCTTTAGGTGATTAAAAGATTCAATTGGCTCATAAATTTTGGGCATTTCAGCATCAGCCTCCTCAGATGTTTCGCCTTTGGTGGAAAAGAAAAATCAGTTAAGTTTCTTTAAAAAGTTGAATTTCGCTACTTCCTTCAACCTAAATTCATACACTCACTCTCTATAATATACTACAAATAACACTGAATTTCATCAAAACACCATATTATGCATCTTGAAGAAATCAAGCAAGCAACAGTAGAAACACTAAGATTTTTTGTGATCATATGCAATCTAAGTTCTTTCCTGTATAGAAGAGCCAATTTCAAATAATGTTTTACGTGCTGAATTTAATTTGAATCCACAATTGAACACTGGCATTTCAAAGATTCTCCCAGAGATTAATTGGCTTAATGGTCAAAAGGAATGCCAAAGAAGTAGAAATTTATTATCAAATCTGCAAAGAGGTCAAAAATTACATGATTTTTTAAATAAGAATGAAAAGATAAAGGTCATTGCATTTGCCCAGTAGCTTTTTATCATTTAGGAATTTGAAGTTATTACTGAGGCTAGAAGTGAATCTAAAGAAGTAGGTGGAGAGTTGAAAGGAAAGATAATTTCCTAAATAAACATATTGAAATATTTTACTGAAGAACAATGCATTAAAATTAATATATTTTAAAGCATTCTTTTTAAAAGCTTTTTGTTTTTTGTTTTTTGTTTTTTGACAGGCAGAGTTAGTGAGAGAAAGAGAGACAGAGAGAAAGGTCTTCCTTTTTCCATTGGTTCACCCCCCAAATGGCTGCTATGGCCAGCGCGTTGCAGCTGGCGTGCTGTGCCAATCCGAAGCCAGGAGCCAGGTGCTTCCTCCTGGTCTCCCATGTGGGGGCCCAAGGACCTGGGCCATCCTCCACTGCACTCCCGGGCCACAGCAGAGAGCTGGACTGGAAGAGGAGCAACCGGGACAGAATCCAGCGCCCCGACCAGGACTAGAACCCGGAGTGCTGGCGCCACAGGTGGAGGATTAGCCAAGTGAGCCGCGGCGCCAGCCTTAATTTGTTTTTTATAACCCTTTTTAAGATTTTATTTACTTATATGAAAGGCAAAGTGACAAAGAGAGAGCAAGAGAGAGAGATTGATTGATCAACCTTCCATCAGCTGGTTCATTCCCCAAGTGGCCTTAGTGGCCAGGGATGGGACAGGCCAAAGCTAGGATCCTGGAATTCCATCTGGGTCTCCTACATGTGTGGCAGGAGCCCAAGCACTTATCTTCTGTCGCTTTCCAGGCATATTAGCAGAGAGTTGGGTCAGAAGTATAGCAGCCAGGACTTGAACTAGCACTTATATGGGATGCCAGTATCATAGGCAGTACCTTAACCCATTGTACCACAATACCAGCCCCCCAAATTAGCATATTTTTATAAGATCAGAATAATATAACAACTTATCACTTTTCCAAAATTGACAGCAAAAGCATAATGCCAAAAGGAAGAGCTAAATTGGACATTTGGGGCCGGCACTGTGGCATAGCAGGTAAAGCCACCGCCTGCAGTGCCAGCATCGCATATGGACGCTGGTTTGAATCCCCGCTACTCCTCTTCTGATCCAGCTGTCTGCTATGGACTGGGAAAGCAGTAGAAGATGGCCCAAGTGTTTGGGCCCCTGCACCCACATGGGAGACTGGGAGGAAGCTCCTAGCTCCTAGCTTTGGATCGGCCCAGCTCCAGCCATTATGGCCATTTAGGGAGTGAACCAGAAGATGGAAGACCTCTCTCTCTTTCTCTCTGCCTCTGCCTCTCCTTAACTCTTCCTGTCAAGTAAATAAATAAATATTTTTAAAAAGTTACTGTTTAAATTGGACATATATAAATTCACTACAAATTAACATTAGTGACAGGAAAAAAAGTGACACATTAGTTGAATGTACCAATAACAACTTGGAAATTCACTAAGTACTGGAAGAATAGATGGATCTTCCAAATATGATAGTACATAATTATTTTAATTGACCTTATTCTAATAAAATAGTATGTTAACATTTTTTATGATACAGCAAGGAAATTGGTTTGAAATAACCATTAAGATGGGCCCACTGGCAAAGTTCTCACTAGTCAACTCTCAGAAGTCACAGCTCTTTCATTAATGCTCAGCTCTAACTTGGGGAAACAAAGCATTTTGAAGTCACAAAAGGTAATGTGTTTTCCTCCCCCACACAGAACAGTGTGCTCTGTTCCTTGAAAACCATAATCTAATTAATTATCTATCATCCAGAATTAGAGGAAGTAAAACGCCTAACCCTTACAGGATTTTTGTATGTGTTTGATCTGATTCAAAATAAAATGTGTATCAGTTTCTCTCCATGTTAGGATTATTCCAACTGCAAATCCAGCAATAAACACCATTTCACAACTGTCACTTAGATATTTTATATAGAGCACACAGATCATTATCAGAAATATGCCAGGGCCTGCCTGGTCATTTCCCATTATGTAGAAGATATGAATTATATATTTTAAATATTTATTTATTTATTTATTTATTTGAAGGTCAGAGTTATGGAGAAAGACTGAGACAGTGACAGAGAGACAAAGGGAGAGATCTTCCATCTGCTGGTTCACTCCCCAAATGGCCACAATGGCTGGGGCTCGGCCAGACTGAAGCCAAGAGCCACAAGCTACATTCAGGTCTCCCACATGAGTGTCAGGGGTCTAAGCACTTGGGCCATCATCTGCTGCCTTCCCAGGCACATTAGTAGGGAGCTGGATTGGAAGCGGAGCAGCCGGGACTCGAACCAAAACCCACATGGGATGCCAACATCACAGCCTGTGGATTCACCTGCTATCCCACAACAGCAGCCCCTGAATTGTATATTTTTAAACATATCCTTCTCAAAAATTAACTTTAAATCTACCTTTAGTATTTGAAGAGGTCATTAAATGAAGGAAACACAATTCTATTTAAGCCCACTTATTTTGGGGGAGGGGGAGAATTGGAGCACGGCCTCTTTTCATAAGAAAAGTAATATATCATATTGTTCTTGAAAGCATAACTACAAAATCTTTCCTTCACATCATTCATGTCTTTCCAATTATATTTAACAGCCCTCTCCAATAATTTGAAGGATTTCTTTTCATTTTTAACATTTGAGATGACCTGAACTATGATAATGATCATTATTTTTGCTACCTTTCAATCAGCAACTACTATAGGCCACAGACATTCCAAGACATTTTGCGGATAACCTTTCAATTATCTCCCACAGTATCCATGATATACATGTTAAAATTTCCATTTTCATAAATAAATAAAATATGAATCAAGAAAGTTCAGAGATGATCAGCTAACACGTTTGATCCCTTCCTCAACTCTAACTCTGGCAGGCTACAATTCCTGTGTATTTTTCTTTTCTCTTCTTAAGATCCAAGAGTGCTATGCATAAAAATAGTGGCTCTTTAAACTCTGTAATTATGCATTTACTCACTCATTCCATATTTACTGAGCACCTATTATGTCCCAGGGTAGTTTCAGAAAAAAATTACTAGGAGGCTGCTGTTGCAGCAAAGTGAGTTAAGCCACCACCTGCAACACCAGCATCCAATATAGGCACCAGTTCAAGACCCTTTTGTTCCACTTCCAATCCAGCTCCCTGCAAATGCACCTGGGAAAACAGTAGAAGATGGCCCAAGTACTTGGGCCCCATACCCACATGGGAGACTTCATCCTGACCCAGTCCCAGGTGTTGCAGATATTTGGGGAGTAAACCAGTGGATGACAGATCTCTCTCTCTCTCTCTCTCTCTCTCTCTCTCTGTCTCTCTCTCTCTTCCTCCCTCCCTCCTTCCCTTCCTCTCTTCTTCCCTCCCTCCCTCCTTTCCTCTCTTCCTCCCTCCCTTCCTCCTTCCCTCCCTCCCTCCTTCCCTCCCTCCCTCCCTCTCTTCCTCCCTCCTTCCATATATCCCTTCCTCTTTCTGTAACTCTGCCTTTCAAATAAATAAATAGATATTTTAAAAGAGAAAAGAAAAAACCACTTCACAGAAAGTCAACATCCCTCAACTAAGTCTTCCATCTTTAGGTCTCCCTTTGGGGAATCCTTTCTTGGAAATTTCAAATTCTGCTTCGATAGTTTACCTGTGGCTTCAGGTGCATCCCTCAAGAAATCCACAAAATAAGCATCAACTCCACAATCAACCAAGAGTTTTTTCTCTTCACCAAATTCTTCCTCCACCAAATTTGCTAAAGCCTTATCAAACCATGTCACATCATCAGACACCGTGAAACGATCAGCTATAACCCGTTTACACTCATGCTTCCACAGTCTTAACAGCTCCTGTTAAAAGCATAATTAAAATGCATTATTAATTCCTATTATGCCATAACTGGGAATTCAAGTTGACCCTATTGGAAAGTATAGATGAAACACTCAAAAATATTAAGGTTAAAATATGCTCCACTGTACTTCAAATTGGCCTCATTCATGTCCTAAGTATATAGCTCAGTATATTAAAGTATATTAAATGTAAAGCATAATACATATATTAAATATAAAACAGAACCTATTCATTTGTAGTCTCTAAGTTTAAAAGAAAACATCTCTAAAACAAAAATATTAAATGTCACTTTGATCAACCAACAAATATTATATGTAAAAATCTTAAGTGTGGGATGAGTTAGCCTTTTTGGAAAAGATGCCTACATTGAAGCAGCTGGAGTTTAATATGAATTATCACACAAGGAAAAACTCTCATGTATACAAATGATGTTACAAATTTGCTTAGCAGAAATAAAGAAAGTCCGTAACAGTTCGTAACAAAAATCTGGATTATCTAAACAAAGCAATCACCTAATCCAAATACTCCCAGACTGAAAGTTGAAGAAATGAATTACACGATACCCTTTTTGCTCTATAGCCACAATAACAAACGTTTGTCTAGCCTCATTATTTCATATTTTAAAAAACTGGTGGAAATGTCTTAGCTTGTTAATATTTTGCAGTTTAGAAGGTCTTAATGCCATTCTATTTCCTGCTAATGAAATAGTAAAATGCTATTTGGTTGCCAGAATATAAAGAGTTTGGTAAATTATGAGGATTCTCCAAAAAGTTTTTAGAAAATGGAATTAAAAAATAAGTTGCTGTAAAGGTTTTGAAATCCATGCACAGCATTTTTGTTACACATGTTCTGTAAATTTTTGGAGGCTCCCCATATATTCAACAATTCAGTTAAGACAAGTTCATGCTTACATCAGTTGCTGGAAATGATTATCTTGGTCTAAAATAAACACCAAAAAGTGGCTATTCCAATCTAGAGTAATATTTGAGAACTGCACTCATAACTCCACTGATCTATCAATAATTATGAGAGAAAAAAATCAAGTTAAAACATTCACTGCAAGTAAAATGACTGTCAGTTATGAGTTTTCCCCAAAGTGCTCATCTTCAAGAACCAGCCAGTGTGGTTACCTGCTCTGTGAACATCTGGAGTAGAGTTGGGGTTTTTTGATAATCAGTGTTTGATGGGTTTAATGACAGTTTTGTTGAGATTTTGATTATCTCTGTGTGTTTATGTGAAGTCCTCTAAAACACGTTTGCTCACCTACCACCTCAGCTCCAAAAAGGCTAAAGAGAGGCCAACCCTGACTTTTCCAGGGCACATGAGTCAGGCTTTGGAAAAACGGGCATACTGGTCTTTTACATAATTAACTTAGTTTGAAGGGAATTCTTATAACACAGGGAATTGTCATTTTCAAGTGCATGAAAAAATGCTTTTTCTTATATTAAGCAAACTTTCTATTCTGTTGCCTCTTTTCAATTTAACCAACATATATAATTTTTCTAGTGCATCTACCTACATGGAAAGATCATGAAAGATTAACAAAATACATTCTTTCTGGAAGGGGAGAGGGAGTGGGAGAGGGGAGGGTTGCGGGTGGGAGGGACGTTATGGGGGGGGAAGCCATTGTAATCCATAAGCTGTACTTTGGAAATTTATATTCATTAAATAAATGTTAAAAAAAATACATTCTTTCAATTTTGAATGTTTATAAAGAATTACTTTAAGTTAAAATACTAAGTTTAAAATATAAAAACTATTACAAAGTAAAATCAATAGTGATTATTTTCATTGGTATAAAAATTATATGATAGGTTAAGAAAACCAATTGTTTCTTTTATTCAAATCATTCAAAATAATTGTGTATACTATTTCCTTAAACATAAACCTAACTTAATTGGAATTTTTAATTGAAATTTTCTGACATATTTGCTTTTTTAATTCATGTTAGTTGGAAACAGGCAAAGAATACCCACAGGGAAGCATCTCGGAATATTTCCATAATTTAAAGTAAAAGTAAATTAATAAAAAATGGTTAAGATGCATGCTAATAACAATGTTATTTTTTGTTCTTGGTCTTTCTCTCTCTTAGATGGCACTTACATCTGGTTCTCTGATGACTTCTGAAGTCGTGCTAAGCATTCCTTGCCAGATCCTGGAAAGATCCCGAAGGTTAAACACATAATGGAACTTGGCAGGGGTAGGGAGCATTTTCATCTTGGTCATCTGCCATAGTCGGCGTGTCAGTGGCACCAGTCTGGTCACTGAATCTCTCACTTCCTCTGAGAAACCCCTCTGGATACAATAATAGCCTTCCCCAATCACACCTGAGAAAGGGAGGAAATCAGAACATTTTGACTAGTCACTCAAATGAAGTCAGTTAAAATGAAAAGCATTATAATACAGAAGTAATGCAAAGGTGATGACACATTTTTATTGATAGCCACATATTAAATAAAATTATGTTAATAATTTTATGATGCTTTTTTAAATTTCATAAAAGTAAATATAGGTTTAAGGAAGTCAACATTCAAGATACTGGAAAGTTGGGGCTGGCCCCATGGCATAGCACCATACAGGCACCAGTTTGAAACTCGGATGCTCTACTTCTGATCCAGATCCCTGCTAATGTGCCTGGAAAAGCAGTGGAGGATGGCTCAAGTACTTAGTTCCCTGCATCCACATGGGAAATCTGGAACAAGCTCCTGGCTCCTGGTTTTGGACTGGTCCAGCTCCAGCTATTGCTGCCATATAGAGAGTGAACCAATGGAAAGAAGATCTCTCTGTCTGTCTCTCCTTCTCTCTCTGTAACTCTGCCTTTCAAATAAATAAGTAAATCATTTTTTAAAAAAGAAAGTTGAAAGTTGATGAAGAAACACTACTGAAAATTCTGGCTACAATTAATTTATTATTATTAAATGAGTAACAATGATAAAGTTGTAATATACAGAGATAAGTAAAAAGGTTTCATAGCTCCTCTTAAATTTTTTCATTCTAGTGTCACCTTTTCATTCATTATATATAGAATTTTACAGGCAATGAAGGATAATTAAAAATGCTAATAATCATTGTTCCAATCCACTTTCCTATTACCAAGTTCAGATACTATAAATATAATTCGGCTTCTAAACCTCATCAATTGTTGTAACTGAAGGAAGATTATAGCCATATTCTACTTGCCTGGGGTGCCAAGATGACATTTTAGTCTATCAGAAATATACTAATATAATCTCAATAAGTTTTTTATGAGGCATTTCAAAAATTATAAATCAGTGCCTAACATGAAACTGTTCATAATGTTCATTTTATCTACAAAGAGTAATTCCCAAGTCAGTAACAAACGCATCTTCATTACTCAATTAAGTATATGTGGTTATTTATTGGGTGGGTGGTTCTTCAATTAAATTATCTCAAGGATACCAAATAATCAGTCAATAACTTATTATGATCCTGTCAATTATTCTAAAAATCAGACTGGAGCCCTGATTTGCTCTTTGCACCACAGTTCAAGGGATCAAAATCATTAGACGGGTTGGTTAAACAAACACTTACTGAAACTTAACATGGAATTATAGCTATTCATTTCAATGAGAAAACTACCTAATCTCCATGTTCACTTAATGTTAAACCTCCTTGTTAAAGCTGACAACAATTACTGCTACAGTTTGGGAATGGTTTGAGGGCATCCCTCAAAGGTACTTGTCCAATGCTTGGTCCGCATTGTGGCAAAATTGGAAGAGGATAGAACCTTTAATAGGTGGGGCCTAATGGAGGGTACTGAGGCTACTGGGCTATCATATCACCTTTAGAGAGTGTCCTCATGGGACTCCAGTGAATTCCCACAAGACCATTCATGAAGAAAAGAGCAAGGTTGACCCCTGAATCTCTTTGGCTTCCTGTCTCACCATGTGGCCTGTTCTACACAATTTCCCATCACTTTGATGCCATCTATCACAAGGTCCTCACCAGAAACCAAACAAATCTTGGACTTCCAGCTTCCAGAACTGTGAGCTAAATAAGTCTCTTTTACTTGTAAAGCCACCCAGCCTTGAGTATTTTGTTATAGGGACATAAAATGAGCTAATGCAGTCACTTAAAAAAGACATGAGTAGAAAATATCTAATCAGGCATCCAATCCTATCCATATAAATCCCTATAAGAAACAAAATACACTACAAGAGAGTAATAAGGGTTAGAGACGGAGTAGCCAATCAATGTGCTTTCTGTGTGGGCCCCTGGGTGAACAGTTCCTCAGAGGAAAACAAGAAGGTGCCCACTGCTCCCCCCAAGTCCCACTGACACTTGTTTTACCAAAGATCTTGTCCACAGAAGCATCAGAGGGCAATGTGCAGTTAAAAATAGAGAACTGCCTCTTGAGTCTTTGGGGTATGTCATTGCGTCCACCCCCAGGATGGATCATGGCTGCCAAAAACTGGATGTCCACAATGTTGGTAAACTCTCCTGGCTTCTCCAGATTATAGAATCCATTTTGCTCCATCAGCTGCCGTACTATCTCATTAGTGACCTAAAAAGACAACAACTTGCAAAATTAAATATCATTCCTTATAGCTCCAGAACCTCTCTGTGTTTTGAAAGAATAGACGTTATTGGAATTCAGAAATTGGACCTTGAAAAAGTAGAAAAACATTTACTCACCAAAGAATAAATCAATGTTGAATAAAAAATCAAATATACAATAAGATCAACAAACCTGATCTCCCCACTCATTGATTATTGGCATATTCACATCATCAATAAAAACAGTCATCTTCTTTCCTGCAGGGGGGCCATATGTTGTACCCATGCGTTTATCGACATAGCTCTCTATTGTCCTCTGTTAGATGGAAAAAAAACAATGAAAACAACTGTGAAACTATCCTAAGGTATGGTCAATTACTGTGTAGGAAAAAATAAATAAATAAGAACCTTTGACAAGAATTACTTCAAAAAATACCAAAATTCTCCTCCTTTTTTATTAAAGATTTATTTATTTATTTATTTGAAAGGCAGAGTTACAGAGAGGCAGAGGGAGAGGAAGAGGGAGAGGGGAAGAGAGAGAGAGAGAGAGAGAGGACTTCCATCCACTGGTTCACTCCCCAACTGGCCATAATGGCTGGAGCTGAGCTGATACGAAGCCCGGAGCCAGGAGCTTCTTTTGGGTCTCCCACCTGGATGCAGGGGACCAAGGACTTGGACCATCTTCTAATGCTTTCCCAGGCCATAGCAGAGAGCTTGATCAAAACTGAAGTAGCCAGGACTTGAACTGGCATGCATATGGGATGCCAGCACTGCAGGTAGCATCTTTAACCACTACGCCACAGTGTAGGCCCCGAAATTTCCCTCCTTGATTCTGGTATACAAGTTATAAAGTACCTAAATTATCTCACATAATATTTATAATATTTGACAAACTAGTTTAATTTACCAATAAATACAATTCTAATCAATGTGAATTTTGAATGGGATTAATCTCTACTTGTACATATCTTTTCTTGTTTTATTATATAACTAAAACAATAAGAAAACCCACCCCACATTATTCAATGGCTCAAATCCTGCTGTAAATTACCCTTCCATCTGCGATAAACACAGCTACTCCCCCAGAAGCTTCTTAGAGCTGCCCTTGGAGCTGCACAGCCTATCATGGGCTGAAGGCTGCTCTCCTCATTAGAAGGCTGCCAATGGGCTCCTGCAGCCTGAAACTATCCTAATCTGCTGCTCTGGGGCAGAAGCAATCACAGTGGATTGTGTTTCATTCCTCAACACAAAATAAAGAACAAGACTCTCTATGTGTCCTCATTTCTACATTCTGAACTTAGGTGGTACAAAAGGAGATCATATGATGCTTTATAACTTCCTTGAATATGAAAGAGAGTAAGAAAACTGATGGAAACACATTTGAAGCTGGTAGGGATGAAGTAGGGGAAGAGTCCTTGACTCCTGATTGTGGTAATCTCATTTCCACAGGAAAGTTTAGAAATCAGTCTTTCAAAATGTATAACTGAGTGACCAGAGGCTAGCACTGCAGAGAAAACAGAAATGAATTTAAAGTTCCCAGACTCTAGAAGACCATAATTCATTCATAGTGCTGTATACCTACTGATGCATGATAAATCATGCTGAAGATGATGCAAAAATACAGGAGAAGTAGAGGTACATAGACATAAAATTCTCCTACAAAAAAATTTCATATTTCATGATAAAAAGGAAGCAAGTTAAAAATGACTTTTACAACTAAGATCCAGTAGCAAAATGAGACTAAAGATTAAAGCTAAAGTCTATATATCTGTCCTTGGAAATCTTCACAGAAATTCCCAATTATAAGTTTTCATCGTCATATTAATGCATAATAGCATGAGATGTTAAAGATCTTTCACCATTTTTATATAGAAAGATATATAAATATATTCCAATTCATTCAATTACAAAATGACTCTCCTATGAAGTAATATTAAAGTAAAAAAATTTTCACATCCCTCTGACATAAAAGAAAACTGTTCATGCACTAGTCTAAATTTAGCTGTGCTTTTCAATTATTTTAAATGCATAAACCAATTAATAATCTCATGATACATCCCTCTGGCAAAAAAAAAAAAAAAATAGCCTCTCCAACATTGCAATGTCTAGTAATGAAAACTCTCAGGCAGGTAGATTCTCTGTCTCTAAGGCGTCTGAAAGCTAAAAAGCCAAAGATGGGATGACTAGAATAACAAAGAGTACTAACCTCATACCTGCACTTCCTCCCCTTCCTTTTTAGAAAATCACAAATAAGCTATGTACACTGCAAAAGAGCTAAATTAACAAAAACAAAAACATGAGTGTTAGAAACATCAAGTAGTTTGTTGAGACTGCTCTGTTTTTAGAAGTATTACCCATTCCATAGTTACTTAATGAATTTTGGAGTTAAGTGGGACCTCATGAAGGCCTGAAGCATAATAATTACATGTTCTACTCCATTATCTATCTATCTATGTATCTACCTAGGGAGGGAAGGAAGGAAGAGGGGACAGTGGGAGAGGGGAGAGGGGAGCAGGGAGAGAGAGAAAGAGAGAGAGAGAGAGAGATTACATTATATATCTGTCCACTTGAGGTCATTTTAGGAAACTATCCTGAGACTGGTATCTCCAACTGGACTTAAATATAATATATATATATATGTGTGTGTGTGTGTGTGTGTGTGTGTGTGTATACACACACACAGAGAGAGAGAGAGAGCATAATTTGTAACTTATCTAGAATATTCTGTCTCCCTAAAGAGATCAGTGTAAAGAACTATCAGGGGCCAGCACTGTGGCATAGCGGGTAAAGTTGCCGCCTGCAGTGCCGGCATCCCAAATGGCACCAGTTTGAGTCCCAGCTGCTCCACTTCCTATCCAGCTCTCTGCTCTGGCCTGGAAAAGCAGTGGAAGATGAACCAAGTCCTTGGGGCCCATCACCAGCATGGGAGATTCTGAAGAAGCTACTGGCTCCTGGTTTCGGATTGGCGCAGCTCCAGCTGTCGTGGCCAATTGGGGAGTGAGTCAGCAGATGGAAAACCTTTCTTTCTCCCTCTCTCTCTCCCTCTCCTTCTCTCTCTGTGTAACTCTGATTTTCAAATAAATAAATAAATCTTTAAAAAATAATTATCAGTGATTTTTTAAATACTCTGCCATTCACATTGTGTTCCCACTTCATCCATTGCTTTGCTTGTTATGAATCCTGATCCAGTTAATGAAACCCTGTAGAGTTGCTTGATTGATCAGTGTCTATCACCCCCACCAGAATGTAAGCAGGGCAAGCACCTTATCTATCTTGTTCATCACTGCATCCTCATTGTCTGAAAAACTGCCAGGTACTGTGTATTATTTATTAGTAAAGATGTGATACATAGATAAATAAATACAGGAAACCTGGAGACACTGTTGGCCGTATCAATTTATCTACCTACCTACCTCGTATGCTTCTACTCTAACAACATCCACTCAGCAAACCAGAATTTCTGTCAATTCTACTTCCTAAGCACAATGTCAATGCATCCTTATTTCCACCCTCACTTTCATGGTCTTGGTGTAGCCCAATCTCCCTCCTGAAAAACGATGGCAGTCATCGCCTCTCGGGTCTGAGTGCAGCCAGGCCTTTCCTTGTTGCTCTGCCCTCTGCAGCCAGAATGAACTTTCCAAAGGACAGTGTAACCCTGCTCATTCCAGGGCCCCCATTGGTGGATTACAAAGAACTATGTGATGCCCCTGTTTACCCCTTCAGTTTCAATTTTACACAATCCTTTTCAGTCTCCTTGGTCTGGTCCCTAAATCCTTACTTATTTGTGATAAGTCCAGTTGGAGATACCAGTCTCAGGATAGTTTCCCAAAATGACCTCAAGTGGACAGATATATAATGTAATCTCTCTCTCTCTCTTTCTCATGACAAGAGACAGGAGGTCAGAGACTTGTTTAGGTTCTATGGGTTGCATAAGAAGAGGTCATGCTGGCTATCATTTTCCAGCTTCAGGGTAAAGTTAGTGTATTTTCAAAGAAAAGCATCAATTGCTCTTAGTATAGGACCTTACTAGAGATTTAGTTGTTGTTTTGTTTTTTTTTTTTTTTAATAAATAGCTGTAAACTAGCCTGTGTGATGAGTGTCATTTAGTGGCCTGTGTTTACAGTGTTCACTGTGGTATCCTTAGATACACATTCCTATATTAGCCATTTCCAATCCCAAAAATCTCATAGGATCAGCATTATTCAGACACACTTTGTGAAATACTTAAATGAATGAGCCTCCAAAGATGTTGCTTCTCTCAACCCAGCTATTTATGCAACCCATAGAACCTAAACAAGTCTCTGACCTCCTGTCTCTTGTCATGAGATGCCAACATGAACCCCCCCTTGTGACAGTGGTGTTTCAAGAAATCAAAAAGATGGCTAGAAAACCAAGGAAACTTAGGAATGGAGGTGAGGAAAGTCGCAGCTCTCCATTCTAGGCTAGGAGCCCTAATCTTAGAGGCAAATCAATCTTCTCACTTACTTTCTTAACAAACAATTCAGCCTTTGTAATTTCTAAGAACCAATATAAATATTAAGTACCACCATGTAATGGTCAATTCTTTAATTACATTGACTTCTAAAATCCCCTAAAGAAACTAATTCCCATCTCCCTCTGGGCTCCACAGTCCTTAGATTATACCCTAAGTAGCACTTATCCAACTATGCTAGATTGCACACGTCTGTTTCTCCAACCAGAGAGAGGGGAGAACATTGCATTGGAATAGGTATTGACAGCTCTTTGGTTCATTATTCACACAGTCATCTCTATGAGCAAAATAAAGCATACAACCTGCATGACCCTACACCACGGCTTGAAGGTTAAAGAAAAAAAAGGGGTAAACTACTGCTTCCCCATTTATTAGCATTGTTATTTCATGTAAGTCACTTAACACTTCTGAATCACAGCCGAGTTTTGGGAATATATATATAAAGAGGTGAAAATCATATGTGTGTGTGTGTGTAAATAACAGAATAGTATGTATGTGTGTATATATATATATGATAACATGAAATTACTTGGTGAGATTGATACATTATAAAAATGCAAATATATTACTTCTATGTGAATCTCCTTTTACCATTACTTAAATCACTTTTCATACATATTACATAAAATTAAATTGATATACAAGGATATTTCAAAAAGTTCAGGGAAAAAAGAATTAAAAGATAAGTTTATTTTTGGTGAAACACAATTTTGAAATGTTCGTATGATTTTTCCATAATATACACATTCAATGAACTTTTTGAAGACTCTCATGTAAGGTACTCTTAACATTAGATTTCTATTTATATACTATAGCTAAAAGAT